AGGTTTGCTGCCCACCCACCTTCGCTCAATGTTTTAATTAAATTTAGTAATGATTATACGCGCTTGGTATCGAACTAAAATCTTTACCAATCCTAGAAATATAACAATGTTTATGTAGAGGTAATTAGATATCTTTTATATTTGCAAAAGCAGTGTGAAGTGTAATCATAGTTCGTGATCTGCATTTTTAATCTCATATCCTTCCAAGTATGACGGTAAAATAATAGGATTCATGGAGATAACAATTACAGACAGACAAACACACAGACAGACAGGCGGACGGACACATTTGAAGACCAAAGGTTCTGAGGCTTTCCTAACATTGTCCATTTCCTTTGCATACAGATTTATATTAACTCTTCCTTTTAAATTGAAATTACAATGCCATACATTCAAGATTAATGGCACAGTGACACAAATACATGAACTATGGTGGCAAGTTTGGGACACCAGATGATGAATTATACAATTATCGCGACAACTACATATAAATAGTTATCTGGTGGAAGAAAAATGCCATAATAATGAACAATTTAAAATTCAAAAGAAAAAGCTCTTTTCTCCGCTACAGAAACATAAGACGGATAAACATAAAAAGCAGACGAGATTTCCCGTCTGCTCCTGTCCAATATCTAGGCTAACGCGCGAGGAGTTACACCATCGGAATCAAGATTTAGCGTGTTAGCTGTCGGGACTGTCTAGTAAAGTGTCAATTAAAACAGTTAAAACATGGTGGCTGCCGTAGTAATAGTGATGTTAAGGATAGTTTTATGTACTTTGACCTGTCACTATTTTATGTCGCTGTGATTTGATACAGTCGGTAAATATTTTCACATACTCGTCTGCTCGTGTGTTTTGTGCAGAGTTTAAACCTCACCGAAATGTGTGAAAAGTTCGGTGTCACCATAGTGACTAGCGCGAGATTGAAGATTTGTTAATTAAACTGTATCATCCGGATGTTTGAGTCTTGTATCCTATAAATCTACCCAAACGTCTGAATGATACAAACTGTTTAGTAGGTATGGGTTACAATGTACATGGACTCTTAAAGGGGACAGGGACCTAAAAATGAGCAATTTTGAAGTTCTGTGTGGCCAGAAACACAAATCCAAATATTTCAAAATCTTTTGCAAGGCAGAATACCGGTTGCACAGCTTTATGACATACATTGAAGAAAATTATACATGTAGTTTACATGCATTGCTCTGAAAAATAAAGACTGTCAGCAATTTATATTAACACCAACCCAACAAAAATCACTTCTAAAATATACTAATATAAGTTTTATTCACGAAGGACTCAGATACTCAGAATTCGTTCGCTTGATTTCTTTAAAAGAATCACCAACACACAGCGCAATCACTGTGCAATCAATGGAATTTTCAAAGATGTCGAATTTACTGTCAGTCATACGTTTAGATTTTTACCCAAAGGCGGCAACTGTCAATTGCAATGCTTAATACAAAGCTACCAAAATGTTAAGTTTCGGATAAAATAACAGAAAAAAATATTATCATTTCCTACACGCAAACAAGAAAGAATTACAATGACAAAGAAATATCAGAAGTTTTCAGTGTGACCTTCAGAGCACCAATGTCCGTGTTATTTATCAATTTGACCGAGGCCATAGTTTGAATAAGTCTGCTGTCCCCTTACTTACATACTCATTCAGTTTAGTTCTATATACTTGCTGGTGGTACATGTGATTTTCAGCCCAGAACGTTTGTGTTATCCAAAAGACGTTCTTCAAAGCCGGTTAGCCAACTTCCTTATAAACGGCCATTTGTTCTCTGCTAATCTTTTCTGAAACAATGCATGGACGAATCTGCTAAACACAATCAAAACTGTTCCCGCCTCCCTTTGCAAAATTACGAACTTTGAACATAATGATATTACATGTACATTGTTTATACTGTATGTCGACACCAAATCAAAATACGGAGGCCGCATTGTGTCGCAATAAAAATCGCGTTTTTTAATATTGTTTTTTGTTTCGTTTTTTTTTTTGTAATGTTTTAACTCTCGCATCCTGTCTTACAATTTTACTTTTCAAGATATTTTTCTCTCGAATTGATTAAACTTTCTTGATTGTAATTCCAGTCTGTACCGCACGCTGTTCGAGATAAAATAACTTACTTAGCTATGTGTGAAACCTGCAATAACTTCTATAATTTACGAGTCTGTACAATGTGGAAATATGTGTTTTTCTTTTACAGAAAGTTTTAATGTCTTAAAGTGCCGCATGCTTGCCACTGAAAGTGATACTACAGTCTTACATTATCTAGATTAAAGAATACGCTCCCTAATGAGCATGTATAAGGGTCGCCATATTTGTAGTTTCCTAATTATGACATCACAGGGGGAAACGCGCTTGAAATCACGTGACAACAAAAATTAAGTTATACGAACTCTGAGAGTAACATCCGTATATTACCTTATTTCCAAATACAAAGGCTTCGTCCCCCAATCCAAGACATATGTTTGATAAACGAAGACGGAAGACAAATTACATAGTTCTGCAGACGTTTCAGGCAATAAACGAAATGTGTGACCTTTAACAACAAATATATTGTGTTCCGATCCTATTCGGCATCCTTTGGTAAAAAAAAACGTTAAGTAGTAGAGGTGCCTCAAATGATTATATTCCAGTGAAACAGTCTTCTACAATAGGTAGTTTGAAGTGATGAAGAAAGGCCATTTTCGTTAAATTTATCTTGACCACTTTGCCGCTGTTTCATAATGTTCTGTACTGAAGTCAATCGTAACTTCTTGGCCCTTTCCGTCAATCTTTGGATAACTATTATGAATAATAATTGTCGTACTAATGTATGGCGTAAATGGTCGGAAATTCAGAGTAATTTTCACATTAAGTTTGAAACTCTTTAAATTCAAACCAAGGTTTTCTCGTTTGGTCACCGACGAAAGCTGTTCCGAAGGAAAAATCCTTATCAAAGCAAACGGGTTTTAGTCGCGCTAAACTTCTAACCATTGACTGTTTTGTGTTTGAAAAAGCTATTTGAGGAGACATGTACCCATTATTTTCATTCAGTACTATAATATAAACTTCAAAAAGATGAATGTAATAAACTGTTGAAGTTTTATTTTCCCCTTTAAAATTTGATGAATTTTTTGTACGTAAAAAGAAATTAAAATAAACCACTTAAGTTTGGTGGAATTTTATAAAAATAAAAGGTAAAAATTAAACTTTAGTTTTAAAAAAGGTAAAAACCAGATGTGTTTTATCTTCAATGGTTCCACAATAAAAGGGGCCCCGGGGAATTTTTCAGAAACCAATATTTTTCTTTTTAAATTTTTATCCCAATTTGGGGAAAAAAACCAAAAATGGAAAATTTGTTTTATTAAAGTAGTTTTTTGTTTAAAAAAATACTCTTAACGTGAGCAAAGCTTTTTCCCTTGCCCTTTTTTTTTTTTTTGATTTGAAAAAATTTTTTGAAAAATTTTTTACAAAGAAAATTTTGTAAAAAAATTTTTAAAAAAGGCCCGAAAAATTTTTTTTTTGAAAATTTTTTTAAAAAAGTTTTTTCGTTTGGGCATGATCTAAAGGGTTTGGCCAAAAAACCCGATTTTTTTTTGTTATAATTATGTTTAAACTTTTTTTTTACTTTAAAAAAACTTTTTGGGTCTGTTTCAGGTCAGAGTTAAAGTTCCCCATCTCAAAATCTTGTTTTATTTTGTTCACTTTAAAAACTGCAGGGTTTAAAATTTGATTTAAAAACTAAAATTGGCATGCAAGAATTTCTTTTGGGAATTTTCGGGCCCTTTACCAATCTCTTGAAATTTTTCGGGGGTTTAAAGAATTTACAAAAATTTTTAAAATTTTGAACTACAGGGAATTTTACCAAAATTTAAAATTCAAGGGAAATTTTTTTTTGGAAAGGGTTTAAATTGTGGGAAAACATGAAGTTGAAATGTCCCAAACCCGGGCTTTCGACAATTGTTATATATGGGTGATTTTGGGTTTTCACATAAAAAAGGGAAAATAAAACCTACATTTTTAAAATTTTTTTAAACAAACTGTTTAAAAATTGTCATAATCATGGATTTAGATTTTAAATTTTCCCCTGCCTTGTTTAAATTTGATCGCTTTAAACCAAAGTTTTTTGCCAAAAGTTTTTTTAAAAAAAAGGAAAAAAGTCGGGGAATTTTTTAAAATATAAGCGAAAAACAAATATTTAAAAAATTTGGGAAACAACGTTCATGGCACGAGCCCTTGACAAATAGGGCCAAAGGGCCACCGAAAGGCACTTTTTTGGGGCACCTTTAACGTGATCTGGGGTTGTTTAAAAAAGGGAAAGGGGGGGGGGAATAGATAAAGTTTAAAAAAATTTTCTTTTTTGGGAAATGTCTTTGAGATGTAAAAAAGCAATTTTTTTTTTATTTCCTTTTTTAATTTTTAAAACCCGGGAAATATTGTAGTTCGAAAAATACCATTGAAACCTCACACATGTCTATATGAACATAAACTGTAGGTCACTGCCTACTATAAGACCCATAACTCAAATAGTGCTTTTCACTGAATTATTTATGTTTGTAATATCGAGCATTTGTGCATTATCATAACTCTTGTCTAACTACCTATCACTGAAAATGTACGTACACACTTAACGTCGGCAATGATAAGTTAGCCTTCAGTGCCATTGTGGCTGACGGGTTGCCAGGCATCAGAATTGCAACTACCGTTTACCACATAACACCACATACCACATATGATCGTAAGAGGCGACTAAATGGGTTTGAACTATTGTAGTTTCTGCATCTCTTAGTTTTAGCAGGTGTGGTCGTTTTGACCCTCGATGTTGCTTTAAATTTGTAGCACAAAAAATCTTTCCTGTTTGTGTTTCGGCTTGAATTTTGTTGGTGTACCGTAAAACCAAGTAAACAAAGTAAGCCCTCATCAAACATGTATCAAGATTTGTAGACAAATTTATGTTATCGATTGATACATCATTATCCACATGTTCCGCCATATCTAATTTCAGGTCTCGAAGTGGCACGGACGGCGGTCCGAGCCTGCCACCGACGACGAGTTGGTTCCCCTCGCACTCTCAACTGACTCGGACACAATGGAAGAACAGACCAAGACCCGGGTACCAGAACTTTTGAGACCCCCTTTGCACTCCCCTCGAAAATGGATTACTAAAGGTGATATTATTTACAAAAAAGGGAGGATTTAAAAAAAATCGCAAGTTTTTGCCATTTTCTTTTTTATTATACTCATTGGAAAAAGATGTGTATTTTTAGGTTTTGAATGGGACATTTAAAAACACAGTAGAAAAATCTTCCTCTCCTTGAAAAAAAATAAAAGCTATTTTTCACGATTCATTGGAGTTCTGTCGTTCTTGTGTTTAAAAAATCAGTACTTAGAACTTTTTGACACGTGCCCTTTTTCACTTTATTTTTACAACTAATATGCTAACTTGCAAGTAAAAGTACGTATGAATTCTTGTTGGCATGATGTGCTGAAGCGACAAGACGGTGCGCCGGTGCGAAGAGGGGGATAGGGTCATTCGAATGAGGTGTGAGACGATGAGATGTTACGATATTTATCTCGCGTTTTCTTATCATACCATCGTTTCGGCATATCGTCTTATTGCAGCGGCATATTGTTTAGTAGATTCGGCACATTGTTTTGTTGCTTGACTATTCAAGGTTTGTTCTAGGTCGCCGATGTTAAGCTACTACAGTCTCACTTACATCCGGCAGAGCCCCGTAGACATCCTGGGTGATCCGGGAACGACCGGGGGTACTACCCCGGGAACAACCGGGGTACATCCGTAACTCTGCGGCAACTCCTGGATGATCCGGGATGATCGGGGAACATCCGGGATCGACCCCGGATGGAAAAATATTTAATATCACCGGGTGGTCCGGGATGATCCGGGAAGGTATAGCTTGCCGGCTTCATCCTTAGCTCTGCCCGAACGACCGGGTTATTACCGGGAAAGCACCGCTTAGCTCTGCCGGCACAAAACGGGATGAATCCGGGGTATGCACTATAGCCGTAGAGTACGGTAAGAGCCCCGTGTAAATGCCGGCAGAGCCCGGTAACTACAGGCAGAGCCCCGGAGGATAAAGGTAGAGCTACGGTTGATTCCGGCAGACCCCGGCAAAGCCCGGATCATTTCAAAAGAAAATAACGACAATTTGCGATGATTGCACTTGCTTGTATTAAAAGCCTTCCCTTCCCCTTCTATCCAGTTATGGGCATAAGGATTTTTCAGAAATCATCATGAATTACTATTCTGGAACAATAGATATTATTATTTTAAATAAAAATTATGTATCAATGTTATCATTTTCAGGGCTTTTTTCAATCCACTGGGTTCTACCCGGGGCTCTGCGCTGGGATTCGTCCTGGGCTCTGCCACTCTGCCTGGATCGACCGGGGCTCTGCCTGGGTTCAACCGGGGGCTCTTCCGGGGTCATCGGGGGAACGGACCGCGGGAAAAGCACCGGCATGAACCGTAGCTTCACATGGGCTCTGCCTGGATGATCCGGAGCGCATCCGGGTGTTAGTAGGGGAACTACCGTAGTGCTGACCGGAGGTAAGTGTGACCGCAACAATAATTTCATCCTGGATCGTCCCGGATCATCCCGGTAACTTACCGGGATGGTCCTGGGCTCTGCCGGGAGTAAGTGAGACCGAGGCTTTACGATGACCCCCAACGGTACAACGAATGAAAAGATGAATGACGTCACAATTTTATCAAATGTCTTGAAGAATGCATTTATTGGTCAAGATGTTTTTGCAGAGCAGTAAAGTCACGTTATCTTTGAAGTCGCTTACATGTTTTCAAGGAAGTGCAATGTATGCCATTGTCCCCAAGTGCCTATTTAAGTGCCTCTAAAGACATAATTAACACAGTGACTTTAATACTTTTCTACACACGTTTTTCTTCTTTTTTTCTACGGATTAATAGGTCAAAGAATGCAAGGATGAGAATCCGGAATTGAGATGTGGATACTGGTCATGCCGTCCTAAAATCCTCCAAAACTGCAATAATCCAAAATGCCTTCTTCTGTTTCTGTCTTTCTTTGCAATGGCACAAGGTTGGTTTTAATTTTACGGTTATACATTTTTTATCCGTACATACATTATTCGTTATTTTACTTTCACACCACTTGAATAGAAACAAACTTTATATAGATGCCTATTTTTACAAATATTTTGACATCTTATATTGTATACATTGATATCAGATTCAAAATGACCTTTACAATCTTTATAATTTAAACACACGGGGGTATAAGTTGTAATTTATATCCAGTGTATCTTGTAAAAGCATGGTCTATAGTGATTAATCTAATGAAAATAGTGGCTGAATGGTATATCTTTTTTAACACAATCTTCTTATAATTTATTCAGACGTAAAAAGTCCACTAAACTTTTCCATATGAGGGGAAAAATAGATTTTAAAAAAGATACATGAGACGGAGTCTTTAGCGCGAGACTGTTGACCTAGGTCATGTGAAGTATAGTGTTTTAGATTTACACATAATTATACATCATTTTGCATGTTAAAGTAACTGTTTAATATTCCTAGTTGGCCCTTGGTGTCCGTATTTATACCTAACGTCGGTTATATAATATATAATTATATTTTGTTCTTGCAGGCTTTGTGGTAAACGGTATCAACAATGTAAGTACAACTTCTGTTGAGAGACGGTTTCAGTTGCCTAGCAGCCGTGTAGGTATGATCTCTAGCTCCTATGACCTGTCGGCTGCCATCTTAGGAATTTTTATAAGTTTTATGGGCTCCGGGCGTCAGAAAGCGAAATGGTTAGCATGGGCGTGTCTAACCATGGCAGTTGGGTCTTTTGTTATGGCTCTGCCCCATTTTACATCCGGAAAATACGAATGGGGACAGAATATAGCACTAGCATGTACAAAAGAAGGTAAGACGTTATTTTTTATTTTTTAATGTTAACGCTACAATACGACACCACTTATATGACAATTACGGTGAAATATGTGTTCCAAGAACATGTATGTACATGTATGTATGTGAAATGTGTGGAAACACCACGTTATCCGATTCTCAATAATCATAACCCAAACTTCTACGGAAATGGCCGAAAAGCTTCGGTTCGTTACTGTCGTGGTTTCGAATTTTTGTACATTCTGTCACATGCAAAAAAATGTAAGTGGCTATAATTATCCACCATACAGTTTTTCACACTATATACAGTACTGTGACAAGCAACATTTATCTTACTACTTCTAGCATAAACAACATTTTAACATTTTAGACTTATGGTATATAAACATGTATATACAGTGTTGGCTCCCTAACAAAATATTTGTGTACATGTACAAAGTTTGATTGGATAGCTGCCATCTATATAGTTTACTTCAAAATGGTAAAAGGTTTCTTTAAAGAACCTTTGTAACTGATATATGCAAATAAAAAACAGCTTAATCAAATAAAGCTAAAAATATCGATTATTAATGTTAGACGAATGGTTATTCAAAGACTGAGTGCTTACAGTTGTCAGTCGCGGTGTTAGAGGGGACGGATGCGGTAAACTTCGCAAATATAACCCTCAGTCACGTTAATATGAGAGTTGCACTTATTGATATATGTGCGTGGTTTGCCTGTCAATGACGCTACCGGTGGATTTTTACGTGTCTTGAAGCTGTCAAGCTAGCTTAAATATGGTCGGTGGTCCAACATCACGTGTCTGTACGTTAACGAAGTGGGTGAAAATCATTCTGGTGCTTTCTTTGAATTAGGATCAATCTCCATTATATTGTCATATGTTCAAAGATGAAATTTGCTTTTATTCGGTCCTTGATACTGTATATTTCATAAATACATGTATAATTATATCATACTAAAACCTATATCATTTAAGCTGTAACTGAGTATTTTGGAAGTAGTGTTTATCAAATCTTCTGTTCTTTCAGATGTTACAGCTAACTGTGACGGCGACTCGGAGTTACAGAATTATTTATATGTGCTAATACTGGGCCAGTTGTTGCACGGTCTCGGCGGCACGACGTTATATACCGTCGGGGTGTCGCTGATTGACGACAGCGTCCCCGCCAGTAGCTCACCGATGTATATAGGTAAGAAAACTATCCATTTACGCCTTGAAGTCATACTAAATCAATAGATTATTACCAGGTAATTCAGGGGTATTCTGAAAGTCTTTCAGATGGGTTTGTTGTAAAGAATTGCAATTAAGTGGTGTTATTATCGAGCCGAACTTAATATTGACACTTTTTACCTAAATTCCTGTTAAAAATTCCCGGAAGGGCACATACTGTTTTTAGACTCAGTCGTAAATACTGGGAAATCAAGGAACATGTGACACATACCATATCACATTTAAATTCTCTAAATACAATAAAAACTTCACAAAACTTTTTTTGACACAGTGGATGGTTTTGAGGTGAATGCCACGCTTAAAGTCAGACTCAGCTAGTTAAAGATTACTCTGGTTATTTTAATAGTTAACAATTTCTTCTCTATCCATTTAACCATGCTACCTGTCTATAATAAAATTGTCTTGCTTTTAACTCTTAACTGTAGGTAAAACGGATTTCAATATCGAAAAATTCGAAATGCAAATCTTGAGTGAATTCTGACTAACTTGACATGGTCCAAACTGCCTGCTTATTGGCAATCAAAACAGGTTATATAATTATCATCCAAGTGTTAGGTCAGCAAATATGTACAAGATATAATTGATAACAGATATCTATTACATATATAAAGTAAATAAAACTAAGATAATTATGTTATCATTCTATCGCCTGTATCTCTTCGCGGTGTCATCATATTTTTTTTTTTATCGTAGCCTTGAGTGGTGTTTTCATAAACGGTCATTTGGTAGCGATACGAAACGTTTGCAAGGTTAATTTACGGACACTTTATATTTGACATTTAATAATAAATACGAAAAAGAAGCTTAAGTAAACACCAAATTGGTATCGGATATCGCTGAAATAGAATTACAAACTAGAAATTATAGTGACCTCGCCTGTACAATAAAATACATCGCCTTTCACGATTATAGAAAGTTTGACCGAAAAGGCCGAAAAGTTGCGATTGTTCAACGTCTCGTTAGATTTTTTATTAAAGACTTCCGAATAAGACTTGATTTTTTTTATATAAACATCTGTTAAGATATCAAGCAAACAAATTAAAAACAAAATATTATAATTTTCAGGTATTATGTACGCCTTTGCGACTCTAGGTCCAGCTATGGGATACATCATCGGTGGACAACTGCTAGATATTTATGTAGATTTTGATACAGTGCCTTTATCAGAGTAAGTCACGTGACCCATTAGAATCTCAGGATTTCATATCGAAGAAAAACTTTGGCTAAATACATTAAATTCTATTAAGGTCTAGAAGTAAGGAAAAACTATCAAGTTTCATCTTTTTTCAATATATTTACATAAGGTTATTCAATTAAGTAGTCAGGCAAGACATGTGAAAATACGGAAAATATGTTTCAGTGTAGTTACAAATATATATTTTACTGTGAAAATACTGTGAAAATACGGAAAATGGAAATACGCATTTTATTTCATCAATATTTCTCAATATTTCATTTATATAAGTTTATGATACATGATTTTATGAGAGTAGTTATGTCGTAAATATTTTATATTCACTGGTTCAAGGAAATCCTAATGGTGCGAAACATGTTGAGTTTAGGCGTATTGCATTCGATAGGCCAAACATAAACTTATATATGGTGCGTTTAAATATAAAATAATTCATTGGGCTTGGTAGTATAGCATAATTTAACATGAAATAAGCATTGTACTTGGCATGCCATTTGTAAATTGTTATAATTTTCTCAATCTCGACGTTTACATGTTACTATTGATTTTCAGTGTCCGAATAAATCCGGATGATCCTCGGTGGGTTGGGGCATGGTGGATAGGTTTTGTCATAGCTTCAATTTTGTTTGTATTAGCCGCCGTACCAATATCACTGTTTGGGGCGGAGCTACCAAGTAAGTACTTTCCCTTATTATATCAAAGATTGGTATTTGAATGGCAGAGTGCCCGAATGGTTTACGCGTTGGACCTGTCAGGGGCAAGCAGATGTGTCCATGAGCAAGACACTTTAAACTTATGCTTAGTACATTCGGGAACCAATTCAAGATTTGATATTTTTACAATCGTAGAAAATCTAGTCATTCGAGGTGGAATATGTGGTCACACCAGGAAAGTAGTCTTATAATATTTGTGAACAATCAAAATTGCGTCTAGGTCTGTTGTTTAGTGCATATCGGATTGTTTCAGATTATTTACATTTTGCTATTTTTATGAACAATAATTACCATTTATACACCTTTAGGTGATAAGCACTTAACATTCTCTAAATCAGTGATTAAAACATCATGAAGCCCACGTTAGAATGTTCATATATTTAATGTATGCAGTTTCTAAGGCTTAATGTGCCTTTAAGAAAAAGATGAATGAATTGATATATCATTACAAAAGTTTATAGTTTTTAGATACGCTTGACTGCTTTTATATTTCAGTCTTCTAGTTTTAAATCTGCTGCTTTCAATATTTCAGCCGCCAGACATGTGCGTGAAACCCGTGTTTCAGAGATGCACGGTGATGACGGTTCAATGGCCGTGCCCCTAGCCTCGGAGGGGAGGAAACTCCGGGACCTAAAATATTTACCTGCACAGATACTCCAACTTCTTAAAACACCACCATTTTTGTTCATAACTTTAGCTGGCGCGACTGAAGGTATTTCATTCTACCTTTTATTGCTAAATCCTTACCATGGTAAAGTGACATAATGCTAATTTTTGTCCCTACAAAGTTGAATTGAATTATTGTTAGATTTCAAAAGAAGAGATTTACCAATAATTGATAATGAAAACTGTGTATGATACATTATAAAAACTACCTCTATTATAATAAAGACTGCCGCACTCTTATTAAGAATTAAGTGTTACCTGTATATTCTGATCGATATTTATAGAAATTATCGATATTTATAGAAATTATCGATATTTATAGAAATTATCGATATTTATAGAAATTATCGTAGGTCACATGGATTACTGGTTTTTTTTTGCAATGGTAAAATATAAAATGAGATGGTAAAATATAAAATTGAACACAATTATGACTAAATGAGTAAATGTCAAGATAATTTCAATTGTACCTGTTCACTGACAATTTACACTTGTTTCGGCATATTGTTACTTTAAATGTATTATTACATGTGAAATATAAAATCTGAAATGAAGTTTGTCCATTTATCCAACTGGTATCAACTACTGAATAGAGAACAGTGCAGATCCGAAAATCAGATGACCTGATCTGGACCGTCTTGCTACCAGTGAATACAGCATTACTTCTATAATTACCATCGTAACTTAAATGTACCAATTTTTACTTCTTGACGGTCATTAATGAGCAACCATTGATGGATAGTTAAAGAATGATTTTCATGATTGAAAATTTAATAATGATTTAAAAAATCATTCTTAATCGAAATTGCAATTAGCACTAAATTTAGAAGACCCACAATAAAATAGCTTTGTTTTTTATGCGCTCAACCAAAATAAAATTGTCAGTTTGGTTTGCCTTGTCTGTCCTTGTATGGACACAACACAGTTAACACACTGTTTTAACATATGACCTTGACTGTTAAATGGCATTGACTTTCAAGGTCAAATTATTATATTAATTATAGGATTTAGCATAATTTTTATAATTTGTTTTATTTAGTATCTAATTATAATTTTGGAGCGTAGCAAAACATTTCGTACAACGCATTTATGAATTTGCTAAGCATGTCTATTTTAGTCATTTTATTTCTTTTGTTAAAAAATGTTGTTTTATACATTTTAGGGATGATAACATCCGGCTTTGCAACATTTATGCCCAAGTTTATACAAAATCAGTTCGGGGTCAGTGCTGGATGGGCGGCCATGCTCACTGGTAAGTAACTATGACAATCTTTCATGCAAAAGCGAAAGACAAATAACATCAACAACAAAAACGACTGATTCAAACATGATTCAGTATAAGAAAAGCAAACTGTAATTAAAACGATATTTCTTAGTTTCCGATAAAATATTTCGTCTAGGCAAAACTTTTTTCGTTTAGCATTGATCTTTATGAAACCGTTGCTTGGTGACGGTTCATCAGACGACATTGTTAAAACAACCTGCAAAGGAATATAAGCAAATTATTATGTCTGTGTTCGAATCAAATTACAAATGATGAAAATAGTCAGTATTTATTTAAAGAATACCCTCTTTGTATTATAATTATTTTATATATAAAGTCTCACGTGGGCATCCCACTTAAAACAAGAATAACAAATAATGGATTAAACTCATGGACTATGTCTCTGTTTGAAGAGGTTTGTACTGTGCTAATTTGAAGGAAGCCTACTTGTCCGTTTTCACAATATATGCCCCCATGAATACTTGGTCAAAGTTTAACTATATTTATGTATGAAAGTCTATACTTTCCATATTACAAATTTGCCTAAAAAGCTTTATGCTCGACAAGTCAAAGTATAGTGGCACAAGTTTACTTCTTTCCCAACAGCTTCATGGTTGGCAAATCATAACGTTTCCTTAAAGTTTGACATGGACTTTAATTTCTGTTTAACTCTACACATGTCATGTTGATCTTAAATTTAATCATTGACTTAGACTGGAATTTTCAGCATGGCATTTTAGCTGAATAATGTACCCCAAAAAATCAGGTTAAAATTTTGCATATGTAACGTTTCGCCCCACAAATGCCACACAACTCATGGCGGTATAAAACTAAAAACTTCATGCACGTTTATTGTAATATCTAAGACCCATAACTAGGATGTATTCTCTTGAACTATTTCCCCCTTTTTTGTGCCTTGTTCTTGTTTAATTACCCAGCACTTGAAACGGTCAAGAGCGGTGTAAGTGACAACGCTTGTTATAATTTATAATAAAGTATTGACCCAATTTTATTATTATATTATATTGTCTGTGAATAAAAGTGTCTGCAGATTGCACTAATGTATTGTCATCCAACATAGCCTAGTCACGTGACTCCTTTTCTCTTTAATGAAATATACATGCATAGTCATAATGTATATCTTAATGATAAACGCGCGTGAGATATAACCATTTGATTTAATGCAACGTTATTCTTCTCGCAGTTACTGTAAAACATTTATTTTTCGCGAGAACCTTATTTCGCGAATTTGAGGCAAAATGTCCAAAATAATTATTTCGCGTCAACATGAATTCACGTCTTCCCGAAAAATGTGAAACCGGAAACCCGATGTGATTCGGATAATTTCTGTCCTGTCCGTTCAATAACTTTGCGTCGTTTATTGTGCGACGATGCATTTAAATAAAGTTTGTTGATCGATTGCACATATATTTATGAGACTATTGATATATATGTCAGAAAGGACAAACAATGAACAAAAAGAGAAGAAAGACAGCAGTCAGTTAAAAACAACCGTTTCTAAGGTTTCGAATGTCTTTTGATATTTTTAATGCAATTTGGTTGATTATCATTCTTTGCATGAATTCAGTTTTGCTAAAACATGTATATAAAACAACCTGTTTATATTTATAATAAGAAACAAGAAGCCATTTGACCGTTTGGTTTCTTTACCCTCACCACCGGAAATGATCATAATTTTTATCAGTTGACTTCCGGTTGTCGTTCAAGCATTTTTGTACTATTTTTCCAGGATTTATGGCTGTACCTGGTGCCGCCGGAGGTCAGTTTTTTGGCGGGTATTTGTGTAAGTGCCTGAAACTCAAGGTAAAAGGTTGTATACGGGTTGCCATCATATGTTCGAGCTGTGCTTTGCTAGTGTCTTCTGTTTTATGGATAAGATGTAGCCATGACAACGTAGCAGGGGTATCACGAGAATATTCAAATAGGTAAGCATATAAAATAGTTTTATTGTTATTACTTTACCCCTAACCTGCTGGAACCGAAAGTATGATTAGCATTTGCCACCAGTAGAGAGCCAGACGAACTTGTACATTAGTGAAGTTATACTGTTACTAGCTCAAATATTGTAATTTGATATTAAAATTCTTTTAACTTTAAATGGACTTATCCGTATAATCCAAATTCAAAGCAGGGCGATCATTTACACACATTCAGGGGTTAGGTGTTAAAATAATTTCCCCTTCAAATTTAAGTCGGACTCTACGTAGTTTTCTGATTGTATATTTGGACTGTTTTTACCATATTGACCGTGTTGACAGTGTTGCCTGCAAACTGTGTAATAATAAAGATTGGTATTATGTGGAAATATGTTTCATGTTTGATTTTATAGTTATTATATGTGTTGTTTTACTTGTGAAATGGTATGTTAATATTAACTTGCAGTGTTGAGAATGCAGAAAATGTTTGTTCATCTTTGAAACTAATGTTACGTTTATTGTAACAATGTTTAAAATTAAACTTGCAGCAGTTACTCCCCCTGATTAGTTTAGAGACGTAACCTTTGCGGGGAATGAGACTGTATTTATAATTTTATCTGTAAAACTTTATTTGACCTTGAGCTTACGGGGGTTCATCTGGTTCGAAATACCAAGCCCACTACAAAAGTCGCATGTCATGCGAAAGGAGGGCATATAGTCTCAGGCTTGTCTGTCCATCTGATGTTTTAGTATAATTAACAATAAAACACTTATATCATTTAACACATAAATAATGTGTTCGCCTCATGCATTACAGTACGGATTCGACGTTACCCCAGCTTACGCACCCGTGCAATATGGATTGCCGATGTCATACGGAGTTGTACGAACCAGTGTGTGATTCTCACGGCGTGCAATATTTCTCACCTTGTCATGCCGGCTGTTCTGTAGTCTCAAAAGATGCAGAGGTTTGTTAACCACATTTTTAACAGAGCAGTTTAATATTTGTGAACTTCTTTACATTTTGACATTTAGTATAGCTATAGGAAATTAGTATTTTGTATGGAAGTCGAAATACCACTTTGCTTTTATGACACAAAATTTCACATTCAGCGCCAAGTTATTCTAGTTAAAATCACCTAACATGCTCTAAATTCATTATTAAAACAGTATAATACAAATGTTTGCCTTTTCTGAATAAAAAAATGTTATCAGTTCTGAGGCTTTAAGTGCCTTTAATAAACAAATCTATTTAAGAAATTGAACCGGTAAGGGGAATGTATGAACTCGTTCGCCTAACACTAGGTTTAATAATGTCATTAGGGGTGTGGACAATGTTACCTTATAAAACACATTGCTATAATGTAATCAGTATCACCTTTTTATATATTTGTTCTAGTCTTATAGCTCATGTTCGTGTGTAATGCCAGAATCAGGTAGCAACGTATCCATGGTGACCGTTGGAAAGTGCCAGGATAATTGTGATATGCTGTATGTGTTCCTACCAATGGTGTTCATAGCAATATTTCTGCTGTTTGTTCCATCCCCACCCGCTGTCGCTGCAACACTGAGGTAACTATACAGTTATATGATGATATATATGAACGCTCGCTGCAACACTGGGCTAACTATAGTTAAATGATGAAATATATGAACGCTCGCTGCGACACTGATGTAACTGTATTGAGTTGAAACATGGACGCTTGTTGTACCGATAATCTCTTGCCTATGATTTAATAAATTACCAGAACTGGTCAGCCCTGAAGACTATGTTGCCTGACCAAGCTTTATACCTTTGGTTGCTTGTTCGTAGCTTATTATGATATTGAAACCACTCACAAAAACGATTGATATTAACAAAATATTCCAATTTCAAGGAGGAGATAGCCTATTACATGTACATGTATTATAGAACTTAATGATGTTTGCAGGTAAAGCTAATTTAAATAGTTCTTCCATTTCTTAAATTATGAATATGAAGTGTATAAATATAAATTGTAATGATATCTTCTGAGAACTTGCTTTATTTTTAAAAGAATGAACTAACGTGATTTAATTTATTTAAAAAAACTATGGAAAGGCACAGTTAAAACTAGTCAAGATTGAAATTTTAGGATTTATAATTCTACTTCAATTATTTGTTGATTTCCGCAAACTTGTAGATAGATAAACAATTTCGTTCAGAGATATTTTAAATCTCAAATTTTGTATTGGATGTAGTCACGTTGGGTATTAAAAGGGTAAAGAAATGCATATAAAATAATTGTAAATGATTTACTTGTATACAATTTCGGTTAAACGTTACTAATTCATTTTGCTATTTTTATTTTTTTTCCAGATGTATACATGACAGTCATCGGACTTTGGGTCTTGGTTTAAAGTGGTTCATTGTTAGACTTCTAGGTAAGCTTCTATCTTTGTGTTACATTGTTTATACCAATAGTTCGACCTAAAGTAACCATGGGCCGGTTATAATGTCGCCTATTGACATGCCAGACTTTGATTCAATCTCTCTTACAAGACTTTATACAGTAGAATAACTTAATGTATGTTACATTTGTTAAACAAACATAATGCCAAAATACCTGAAAATTGTCTCTTATTTGACGATTTGTGGCCGCCATAATGTAAAGAACGCGCTTCCTGGAGAGTTACGTAATTCCCAGCAGTGGTATATCTATGTATTCATTATGAGGACTTAATATATTTGGTAATAGGACTAACGAGAACTTTCTTTTAGTGTAATGATGACTTTATTAAGTTGAAATAAGAACTTTATTTTTATGTAATGTAGGTGCAATGAGGATTTAGGTGTACTTAGGACTCTAGGTGTAACTCTGACTTTATGTGTAATGATAACTTTATTTACGTGTAACGAGGACTTAATGTGTAATGAGGACTTTATTCAGGCAATGTTAACTTTATTTAAATGTAATAAGGACTTTTATTTAGGTGAACTTAAATACATTAAGTGAAATTTTAATTAAACATGTCATCATAGAGAATTATTTGCTTCTTTGTTTTAGGCACAGTACCGGGTCCAATCATGTTCGGCGCAATTATTGACAACACCTGCATTATATGGCGGGAAAAATGTGGAAAACATGCCTCGTGTTGGATTTATAGCAATGATGAACTTAGTTTGAACTTTTTCATATTTGTCGCCGCTTTTAAAATCGTTTCTATTTTATTGTTTGTTTTAGCACATCAACTGTATAAGCCTCCTAATGAAAAGAGTGTTAAATTTGTAGTAAGTGAAAGTGAGACCATTCAGTCCGAATCTATGACGTCAGGTGTAACCATTGTAACAGAAAGTGACACCTGATGCAATTCAGGTTTTCATGATTGGAAATCCCGTTCTTTCAACAGAGTGGCTGTGTAATGTGAGGGGTGTTGTAGAATTCTGTGTTCCAGATTTTAAACCAAGAACAGTGACGAAACAAATAGAATGTAGTGTAAACATGGCGGACATTTGCTAACAATCAAAATGGTGGCGTAATAACTATCAAAAGAAACGAAGATATTAACTCTCTTATCTACTGACATAGATATATGTGGAACTGCTCTAAACATAATTGAATTAACTCATAATTTATTGCGTCTTAAAAGTAGAGTGTCCTTGAAACTCTATTTACTGACTTCTTAGAAACTTCGGCCTTTCTTTAATAAACCATGACAACTTGATATTCCTACTTCCGGTCGGCAAAAATCCTGACAACACGAGTTTAAGTGTCTACTGAACAATTGTTTTTTTTTAAGTACTCGAAAATCTGACGACTGGCTCCAGGAGTTAAGATTCAGGAAGTGGTACATTAAGGTATACACTATTTATAGTAAATGTGTGTTATGGAAATTTATTAAAGTTCCTATAAGTTTATTCTCATAATTTTTGAAATATTTAAATTGGGACCAATTTACATGAAATCAGCGAACATTTATCTGTTTATAAGAGAATCCAATGTATTTTGTTGAAGGGCGGCTGCGAACAGTGATAGTTACCTGCGTTTGAGATATTTAAATCATTTATGTAATATTTTATGGGAGTGATTATATGAATATCCTGTAAATGCTCTGTTATGGAAAGAAAAGTTTGTATCATAAACATTGGCGTTTCATATGTTACATATAAAAATGCCATATTCATTCAGGTCAAAATTGATAACAGTAATACGGTGGCTGATTTATGTCATGAAATTGAAAAGATGCATGTGGCGGACAGAAAAGGTGAGAGTTTGAAAGAATGGCAATTTTCATGCTCGTCGCATGTTGCGATTTCGCCTTTTGGCCTGTCAACGTCGCCGTACAAAAACATTCATTGTACGCCATAGTTGCATAGTTGTAGGTGACAAGAGAGACAACTCATGCGAACATAATGATTAATAATTTGAGATTACAATATTCATAACAAAGTAACGGGCCTTGATATACCTTAAAATTAAAACAGGTGCCTAAATTTCTTAAACGTATAAAGTTGGTATGTTAAATCAGGACGTAATAATTTGCATTCTGTTTAAATCGTGGTATACCACCTTTAATCTAAAGTAGAATAAACTTTGCATTTGCTTTAACGGATATTACTGAATTTTGCCTATGTTACGCGAAATGTTTAGATGTTATGCGAAATGTTTATAACATATTTTCATATAATGATAAGTAGATATTTTAAGCATTTTGTTGCAGTAAAATTCCAGCAGCATTGTTGCATGAACTGTGATAACTATAATTATTATATTTTGCATAGTTTTTGTTCGCTGTTATGTAAATATATTTTTCTTTGAAGATATTATATTTGTAATAAAATGTCTATATAATGTGTAGATCGAAATACAGATGAGAGAAAAACGCTGCTTTTTCATTATAAATCCCAAACACACTTTACATTTTATTCCTAAGACCGTGACGACTATTTTTCGTGATATTCTCTAACGTCAATGTCAAACTTGTGAACTAAAGCTACCAAGGGAGAAACACGTAATGACCTTTTTAGACAAGTGGTCTATATTGAATGAGACTAAAAAAAGGATTGGAGCACCACACTAAATACCGTATTCCGGTAAATACCGGACAAGGGGCTTGAATGATAAAATGCTAAAATCTTGTCTTTTTACCCAACGGAATGAACTTTAAAAGGTCTTATTCATCTTTTCACACCGATTTCCGCATGGTAATGCATGAAAAATGTAATAATCGGAGAAAAGAAAACGATATTTGTCTATTTTGTGATCATGAATTTTGCAATCGTCTAGATTCCTGTAATGAGTTAAATCGTCTTTATTTGGTGGTCACATGTTTTTTAAATGAAGGGTTATAAAACGTGACCTGCTTTTATTTGCAGGGTTTTCTTTATTCAGAGGTGGTCTTCAACACAGGTTTCTCTGTAAAATGTTACTTGTTTTTTTCCGTTTATCTATATAACAAATTTAAATTAATATTTTTATGAAGTTTACAAATTCAAAACTGTTCTTGTGTTGTCTCTACGACCCTGAAAATATTTTGCCATTTGTAGATTTTGTACTGAAAGTCAAGAATTTATTTTAGAACCCTAAATTTGTTGAAAAAAAAAACAACACAAATGTTGCCTACCAATTCCAATATAATTATTTTAAGATCATTACATTTTAAAATGCCGGCATCAGTTGTTTTATATGCGATTGCATTAAGTAACACAGCTGCTATTGATTCCAAGGAAGGTCATAAATTTAGCAAAAGTAAGTTTTCCTACGTTTGTACATCAAGGTACACAATCGTTTAATGGTCTCTTTATAGTTCTTTTTATTCGTTTTATCCGGTTAGGATTTTTGTTTTACTGCACAGTATAAATTTCTGTTGTTTTGTAATGTGGAAGGATACTTCTATAGCTCTACAGACATTCAGTACAAGATGCAACTCATGGAATCGATCTGGGCAAGAGAGAGGGTGCCTTAATAGAACCAACACCTTTTGTAAACTGGATGGATAGCTTCTTGAAATCCGAAAGCCTTGGCGGGATTTAAACCCTTTACCCCCATCCCCACGATTATGAAGGAAATAGAATGACACTGTGTCAATAAACAGGAAACAAAAATTAAACTCTTACAGTCGATGTAAAAACAGTTTAATAGTAAAAAAAGATTTAAAAGAAAATACATGCAAAACAGATAAAGAAGTCATTCGAGGCTATTCATCTTTCACCAAACATAATGTACCTTAATACAGAAACAGGAATGAATGACAGTGAATTTAAATGCTTAAAATCGTGAAAAACGTGCATTTTTGAAAATACCATAACAATATATATTTAGATACATATGAAAAAACAAACTTATTACAGCATATAGAAAAGTTTTATATTACTTATAATATCTCGATGACTTGATATTGAATGATAAATCCACCAATTAATCAATCAACCAATCAATCAATCAATCAATCAAGTCTTCTTTATGATAAAAACATATTACTCTATTTAATGTTTTTCAAGATTATCACCAAAACTTAACTGAAATAAAATGCATCTTACAATCGACCAAATATAACCTGGCTTTCATAACGAAAAAAAAAGTCAATAAAGTAAAGAAAAAAATGAGTAAACATATAGTTAAATCTCAGAAACAGAACATATTCACAACTTTAACAATCACAATACATATATAAATACTGGGTTTTATCACAGACATGACATCAGATAAATTGTGTACATTGCCACGTGTTATTTGCCACGTGATATATAACCACCATGTGCAGCATCAAAAACATTGATGAATGACATTTGATAAACATCTAGTTATAAAAAACAAATTCTGAACGTTTAATATATCAATACACTTTGTCCAAATAAAAAAAAACGAATAAAAATCTAATAAGAACAATTGTTCTATTTCTATTGGTTCAGGAACTGGCCATTTTAGCACGATAGCTTCAAGACAAGCTCCGATTCAATCAAGACTAAATGAGCCGCGTCACGACAAAAACAACATAATGGATTTGCGACCAGCATGGATCCAGACCAGCCTGAGCATCCGCGCAGTCTGATCAGGATCCATGCTGTTCGCTACCAGTTTCTTTACTTGTTATAGTGTATGTAAGCGAACAGCATGGCATTAAAAACGAATAAAAATCTAATAAGACAAATTGTTCTATTTCTATTGGTTCAGGACTAGCACGATAGCTTCAAGACAAGCTCCGATTCAATCAAGACTAAATAAAGATATTCTTTCGGATGAACACTTTATTGCCAAAACAAAGGGTTCTAAGAACTGATAATAAACTCCATTTATTTTTGTCATAGAATTCGTTAAAAAATGAATTCATCAGTAGAAAAGGTCGCACATTCCATCTTTGGACAATAATTTAACAAAGAAAATAAGATTCATGCAACTTGGAGTTCGTTTTGATAGTAAAAGTGAAAAGAAAATCCTCCACTGAACTCTGTGTCAATCTAGAATGTTTATTTAAGATATTTATTAGTACACAATATTTTTGATACAAAATTATCCTAATATTTCACTTTAATGCAACTGCAGGACTCATACTTTGTTAGAAATATATAACGATTCATTTTTCTTTAAGTTCAAGATAAATTATGATTATTTATAGAATATTAATTAGTCTCTACACTCATGCCACCGCCTGTGGGGATTGTTCCTCCTTTTTCTTCGGGTTTGAAACGTCCTTCATACAGTCGTATATTGCTTTACGGGAACCAGGCGTGTTCTGAAGGTACGCGAAGTAAGCGGCCCTCATGTGGGGTCTCGTCGTATGGTGATACTCATCTAATCTGAATATACAATAAAATAAAATATATGAGCCGCGTCACGACAAAACCAACATAATGGGTTTGCGACCAGCATGGATCCAGACCAGCCTGCGCATCCGCGCAGTCTGATCAGGATCCATGCTGTTCGCTATCAGTTTCTCAACTTGTAATAGAGTTGGTAAGCGAACAGCATGGATCCTGACCAGACTGCGCGGATGCGCAGGCTGGTCTGGATCCATGCTGGTCGCAAACCCATTATGTTGGTTTTGTCGTGACGCGGCTCATATATGTGTCTGCTATAGGCTGTAAACAAATATGTCGTTTTCATTGTAATGGTATTATGCTGGTATATTTTCCTTAACATTATATGCTGGTATATTTTTCTGAATGAAATGCCTGGTAACGTCTTAATGGTTGTTTAATACCATAATGGTATATAATTAATATTAAAAAAGTACCAAGTCCTTTAAGTTTCTGTCAGTTGGAAAAAGGTTTAAGCATTTTATACACATCATATTCCTTATTTTACTGTTTCGTTTACTTTATTTATAAATCACATTGCTAATTGACCCTTTGTTTATTAATACACTAAAAAACTCTTTTAGTTTCATTTGCATAACTGTTTTGAACATTTTGGGTACAATTTTTATATAAGTTAAATGTTTAACTATAATTACAGCCTCAAATCATAGATGTAATATTTCTAAATTTCAGACACCAGTATGTGATACTTTTGTAATGTATCCATTTTATTTAAGAGGCCATTTTGTACCTGTCTAATTCCATACGGTAGAAATCTTGTTTTGTTCTGTCATAGTCCGACTTTTTCCTGCCTTCACCATAGTGACTGAAAGATTTGATCATTTCATCCCTGCAAAATATACAGCATAAATAAATATATAGATTCTATCTATAGGTACAGCTCGACAATCTACGTCATCTTCAAAACGGCCCTTTTTTAACTTTATTTTGCTATATATAAAGACGCTTGGCATTGACATCAAAAATGGCCGCTATATTACAGGCGTTTTATGTAAAAAAATACATGATGGTAATGGTTTTATTGAAAAGAAGCCAAGAGAGGTCACGCGATTAAGACTATAAAGCTATTGGCCGCGGAAATGTACATGTATACTAGTTGCTATATGGTCATAAGTACTGTCGCTTTAATTTCTTATGAAAGATAATAACATCGGCGAAATTACCATAGTTTGTGACTGATAATAATATTAATACCGTCTAAGACCAGGAAGAAGGGAAATTTTGTAAATAATTCTATATAATTCTAACACTGATCGATGTGCTTTTAAAGACATCCTTTTGTTTCCTCTAATGGAAATCGGTTACATTTTGATTGATCTATAATCAGTTGTATCTTATCAAATTATCCGTGTTTACATTATTAAAACAAATGCAATGATCAATGTACAGTATAACCTGTACAAAGCAACATCCTATGGGAGACAAATATTTTGGTTGTTGTTAAGAGGGGTTGATGTAGATTTTAAAATTATTGTCAAGTCTTACTTTTGAAACAATTGATGCTGTTGTTGTAAAGAGGTTATTGCTCAACAGAGGGCCGTTCTGCAAAAGTTTTACTGTATTTCAACTGATATTTCTTTATTGGCGACGCCGGTGAACGGCGTCGTCTCTTATGGAATGCTTTTATTTTGGGCTATGGAAGGAGCTGTTATTATTAGCAGTTAATGTCATGTTGTGTTAATAAGTTTTATTTTGATTCGTAAAAATCAAGTAAACAAATATTTTGTTATATTTGTATTTAATAACTTTGTAAAAAGCATGTGCATTGTCATTCCTCGTACAAACTTGGTATTGAGAAAACGTTTCATTGTTTTATGTTTTTTGTACCTTCACTATTTATTTATGAAGGATACATTCATTCGGAACTCACCTCAACATTGGTACATCACCGTAGTGAAGTTCTTTAGTGGTAAGGTCAGAGTTAGGTGGCGCTATCACTGGGAACTTAGGCAATCTCGTGCTACCCTGCTTAGCTTCCGGTCGCTTCTGGCGTGGAGATCTGAATAAAAAAAAATGATTAAAATGTTTACCGTTTCTTTCGTTTGTCCATTCTCGATGATAGTTTAAAAAAACGTAAATCAGTAATACAAGAAAGAGAGAAAGAATAGACGCTTGATGTTATAACAAATTGCATACTTTGATGCATTATCGGCATGTGAAATCACTGCTTTACTTACAAAAATTAATGTTCAATTAGCCATATTGGTTGTCATCTCTCGAAGTTTTTTTTAAGATTAAAAACGCTTGACTCAACTCCATTTTTTTAAAACTCGATTGTCAATAACCTTTCAGGTCGTCATCCTGTGTAATTTTAACTTGATTTTTTTGTTGTTGTTACAAGTTTGACAAAATGCGAAATGCAGGTATGGTATCTAGAAACAACCCTAAATCAATGCATTATATTATGAAGTTTTTTTTATAAAGATTTTATTGCTATTTTATTATTATTATTATTATTATTATTATTATTATTATTTTGATCAGTTCTGAATTTGTTAAAAGAAGTAGGATAATATATCTATATAATTATTATTATTTATTATTCTGATCAGTTCTGAATTTATTAAAAGAAGTAGGATAATATACATATTAGGATAGTTTAGTTTTTTTTGCCATAGTAATATTTTCCTCAAATATTCGGCTAACATTTTAAATTTTCCTCTTCACAAGATTACAGTACCCCTACCCCGCCCCACTAAAGAGCATGTGTCATTACTTTTTTAAGTCTACGAAATCTACGTCTGTAGATATTATACGGAAAAAAGCAGCTACGTGCAAAAATGCGATTATAAGATACTATATAAATAATACATGGTGAATTCTAATGTGGTGTAACAACAAAATAACAACAGAAATTCAACGAATTGTTTCGTTAAAATCTAAGATTGCTATTGACTGGATGTGCTTTAAAATGATTTTGTTGTTAAGTATAATACAAGTATTTTTTAAATAATGAACAGAAACAAACCACGACACGACATTCCTTTACGTATATAATAAACAATACAATTTCTTTTAACGTTCAAAACAGCCGACCTACCATCCTACTGTCGACATAGGCAGATCAAAGCGCTGTAGGCACCATAATTACAATACTTATTTGTATAAAATGTGTAAACTTACTCTGGATCGTGCGCATTGTTAGATTCACTGCCTCTGAATGAAAGAAAGTTTCAAAATTGCACGAACATGTATATTATTAACACATAAAATTTAAAATATTGAAATAAAAATTGCAGTTATAGTTCTCGCAAACGAGAACAAGCAAGTGTTGAAAATGAAGGGGTAAAAAATGTTCGTCTGCTGCTAGTTAACCATATCTAATAACTACTTGATCGCTTTTAAATAAACATCTTCATTTTTCAAACTGGTACAATTAAAGCTTATGATCACGTGATAAACGAGTGGCTAAAATGGGGGATAAGTGGGGAAGAACTAAGGGGAGATAACTAGTGTAGAAGTTAATTAGAAGGTGTCAGTCTAAAGTAAAGTGCTTATTAAAGTTTATGTCACATTTAAGAGCAATATCTAGCTCTGTAACCAGAGATTCAGAAAATAGTTTTAAAAAATGTATTTAATTCTAAAATCAAAAAGAAAAACCTTGGCTAAACGTTGTACAATGTCAAAGATTTCATTTGGAGTTGAATTATACAGTTCGAAGCGAAAAGAACTACATTAAAAAGACTGTAAGTAAAATATATCAATTTTTAATCCATAATGTGTTGCTTTTTTAGAAAGATAAATAATAGGCTTTAGATCTCTAAAACCTATAGTTGGTTCAGAAATTGGCCAACCAGTGTTAGGTAAGTAAGAAAAATGTTTGAACAGCGATAAAAGAAAACCAAAAAGATATGAAATTAAACAGATACACATTGCCTTTTCTTTTATAAAAATACATTTTATATATTGTTGTTGCATGGCTGTCTTTCGTGTTTCAAAATGTGACATTTGACATACTGCGATAGCTTTTTTTATTATAATGTGCACTTACGTTTTTCCGTTCCTGTCTGTATTAGAAGAAGCCCTGCCTCTGAATTATAAATGCGTTAAATACATGTACAACCCGTGCTATTATAAGGCAGTCTACGTTAATGTACATTAAAACTCGTGCTAAAACGAGGAAATCTACGCTATAGAACATGTACATACTAGACTCGTGCTGTTACAATCAATTTTGAAATACATGTAAAACTTGTGCGATTATCATAAATATTATTGTACCTATTAAATAATAGGCATACAATTTACCTATATATCAAATAATATCACATGACCTAAGTTTATGCACCAAAATACAGCTATCAGAAAAGTTATTGCATCGATACTCATGCTGCATTTTATATATTACAGGTATTTCAAAACTGTTTGAATCATAATGCAGGTATTGCAAAATACATTACATTAAATGCATTGCAAGAGTTAAGTCTCTACAAGTATTGCAAAAGTAAACACATCATTATACACGTTTTTGTAAAAACATAATACTGGTATTGCAAAAGTTATTGCACCATCCACACTTATTGCAAAAGTTATTCATGAACACTCCATGTAAATTAAGAAAACTGAGGCGAAAATTTCACTTGTTAAAACATAAAAATATGCATTATAGAGACGTAACATTTGTTAAAGGCACCTGTTGATAAAAATTTGACGTCGTTAAATCTAGTCTAAATTTAGATATCAATGAAAGACCGACCACTGCTTCGGTGTTCTTATATAATCTGCATTACAAAGTGACAGTGCCTTATTTAATAAACGTTTTTTTAAATAGTCAAAATGAAACAGCATATACAAGCCATATTAGTTTCAGAATTAAACGAAAATTCACTTCTGATGAAACACTGAATAAAACATATTTAACGAAGCGGCCGGTCTTTTATAAATAGAGGGATTAAAAACTTAAATCACTACAAATCAATTACATGTACATTAAGTTACATTTAAAAGAATACAAAAACTAATTCACATGAAGCCAAACCTGAATATTTTTGACAATTCATAACATATAGAAGTGCAACCTTGGCAAAGCGGCCCGTTGTAGAGCAATTACCTTTTAAAAACAGTATCGGTAATTCCAGATATAGGACTTCACAATAAATCTTTAAGCAGCAACGACAAACTTTTTCTCAGAAAGGGTGGTGCTTTGCAGAGGTGGCACTTATTAAAATATTCAGTACAAACTTACGACTTAGGTTTTGAATCACCGGCATGCATTTGTTCGATCCTCTTTCTGCGGATCTCAGCTGTTTCCAACTTGGGTAAAACATTCCTATCCATACTGAGACTCACACATGGGTCGCACAGTCCTATTGCCGTACACCTAGTGGTGTACATTAAATCGTGTGTCTACAAGAAAATAAATCATGACATAGTTTAAGACTACATTTTTTCCTTCCATCAACTTATTTGGCTAAAACTGTTATTGCCTTATAATGGTGTTTCAGTGCGCCATTTTTCATTTTACAAACAATTCTAGAAAGTCGATTGCGTTACGACACACAAGTTTGCTTTTCATTATTATTATACCCATTCGATTAAATGAAATGACTATAGAATGCAATAATTTCTCATTCAAAATCATTTTTCTGGAAACTTACCTCTTCGGATTCAACGGTCGGTTGTTTCTTTACCTCAGGGGGCTGGTTTTCTTTGTACCCAAGTTCAGGCTGTATGAAATAAGATATGCATTATGTGAGAGCTCAAGGAGCAATTTTACATTATCTATCACCAGTCTAGTGTATATCATCTTATAGTACAATAGTGTATAAGTCCAAAGCTCGGAAATGTTCGGTACATTTCGCCACCTGATTATTTCAAGTGTAGTCTGATTTAGAGGTCAAGGTCATATCATTTTACATCAAAAATGAAGATGATAGCTCTTGTTTATATGTTGAATGTTTTCAATAAAGAGACAGATAAATACAATAGACACGTACAAAGATCAAAAGAGGGACACACAATATAAATCTAAAATTTGAAGGAAAACTAACATACCATTTTGATAAGAAAATTCGCTGTGTACGTGTCGAAGTACGGTGCTAGGCTTGTAAACACATCGGGGTAATGGTCCCGTCTAGGTATTAAAAATAACAACCAATAAATAAAGATAAACGGAATCAAATTAAAGGGGCTCCACTGTGGTTTCTTGACAAGACGAGGCTGAAAACAGTTTCTTTTGAGATTAATGTTCCATTTGATGTTGGTCAAAACCAACAACTTGTTTGCAAAAATTCAGATCATTCGCTCAATCCAAAAGTTTTTTGTTTGTTCCCAGGATAATTATTCAACTTGTTAAAAATTACCTTAAACTGAAAGCTTTTCACCCTAATTGGGACAAGAGAAGCACAAAAATACAAGTTTCAATTTAATTCTGAGTAGAAATCTATATGTCTTAATTATTGTTAGCATTATGCCATATACTTCTAGTTTAAGTACCCAAGCTGTTTAAAGAAAGAATTTCAATTTTTATATTTTTGTGCTTTTAGACCTCAGTGGAGTTCCTTTAATAAAGACATGTCTGCAGAATATTCCTCATTAATAAATCTTTTTTGAAATAAATGAGGTTTGTGAAGCAATAAGTATTTTAGAAAATTGCAATAATAATGATATGCATTTGCCAGACAATCTGACAAGTAAGTCTTTATAATAGTGGCTGCTAGATTTCTTTTATTCTTAACCCCAAGTAAAAGTTCTAAACTCAAAGCAGAGTAAGAACTTCTGTCGTAGGTAAATTCGGTAACTTCGACCCCAGTCCATTTTAAAGATTTTTATAAATCAGAGTGCCGAGTATCTTAAAGCTATTTTCTTTTGTATCATAGGCAAACATAAAAACTTTTCGTCACAATATTAAATCTCAGAAAAAAGCAACCATTGTACGAGCATCTAAATCGTATAAAAAATGAGCCAATCAACGAGCATACTCTTTTATGTTATCCCTGCCAGAGAGTGCGGTAACTAAAGTGCAGGTTCCTAATACCCTCGCTCCAGTTAATGCACTGTGCATGCATGGGTATACGATATAACTGAGACACATTTCAAAAGAAAGCTCTCCAAACTATAAAACAAATTTACTATTACTTGTATCACAGTTTGGAGACCTTCTTGGATTTCATATTGTGACGTCAGGGAACGTGTTTCTATGTGCCTAAAGAACATCAAAACACTTGACAATCTGATTTATACTCTGGGGCTACACCCTCTTGCACAAATCAGAAAGTTTTGAGTATCGATTTTCTTTCTATTAATTAAAACACGACAAATATCCTATTTCTATACATAAATTGCTGGAAGCCTAAAAAATTACATACTGAAAGCAAGAAATAATGACAAAGACGAAGTTTACTGATCGTTAAACGACTGAAGACTATTTCTAAAGGTGCAAATCACTTAGTCGATCTTTTACGGAAGCTTGGACAATTATTTGAATAGCCGGTCTATCTTATTTGCAAATATGACGATAATGAATTTAGGGTCAACTTACACTTTTGGCTTTTTAATTTTCTTCGATTCTTTTCTTAGACTATCCTTCAGACGCTGTAGCTCCGCATGGAAAAACTCCCGCTCTTTCCGTCTTCTTTCTGTTTGGGGACAAAAAAGGTCCAGGCGATTTAATTAAAGAATTTATAACTAAATTTATCAGACATACATAAAATGATATGTACACCGACATGACAAGAGACTTCACAAATATGTCATAAGATTAAAGCCACATTTACATATTCATTAATTGCATTCGTCTGAATAAATTATGCAAATTACATAAAGTCATTAAAGCCAGACGCTTGTTATCATTGTGCAAGAAGCTTAATCTGCAGTTTTTAGAATTCAACTATACAAACTATATTTCCTACATGTATGCCTGTATATATGTGCAAAATTTATCTTTAATGCAGAAGAGTTAAACATAATGAGAAAACGATGCTATAAGACAGCTATTTAATTATAGAAATCAAAACAACTATTTTTAGACACAAAGGCAAAGTTATTTATAGACACATAGAAAAGAAATGTAGACAGTTTTTCAATGGTATGAACTGATATGCCTAACACATATTCTGCTAAGAATAGAGTTATGAATGGTTGTGAATTATGTGGAGGACAGGTACCACGTGACACATCTTTAAAACGTTATATCACAATAAAGGGAGGTAACTATACATACATACGTACGTACGTACGTACGTACGTACGTACATACATACTCGGACTGGAATGAAGGACAGTTTCAATGCATGCCATCGTCATCAAGAAAAAGTTATATTAATCTTATTTTCAAAATTTGATTATTAGTGTTTTAATTAATTCTTGGGAGGACAGTGAAAATCATGTAAGCTTTCGAGTTAAAAATCAGTTGTGAAAGCTGTATATATTTGCATATCCTTTCCCAAGGAATTTAATTTAGCAGGAGAGAATCCAGAATAAGTTAGCCTTATAAGTTGTATCATGCATACTATCAGGAGTGAATAGAATTTCTAGTTAATTAATTCAGCTTATGTGTAGCAAGAATGTTAAGACTAGTTTTGTGAATATTGGGTTTATTCATTACTTTTGATTATTAATAAGGAGGAATTTCCCGAACATGGCAACATAACATTTCCTGAGATAAAGGTTTCCTCATCATAAAAAGGTCTTTTCCTCCCTCGCCCTCAGGGTCATCATGCAAAATTAACACAGGTGAGGAACTGTTACACGAAGGATGGAATTCTTATGATAACTTGTCAGAAGTTCGTGTGATATCTGTCACAGAGTTTAGCACCTCACACTCTCTTTTAAAGATGAAAATCACCATATTTGACAAGTTTCTTCGGTATATAAACTTTTTTCCGGCGAAATCCGTAACGTTTTCAGGGAACTCCGTGACAGTTCCTGACAAGTTATCAAAAGAACTCCATCCTTCGTGTAACAATTCCTCCTCCGTTATTTAATACCCCGGGGAAAATAAAACGTGTTTAGCATGGTTACATTCATTACTCCGGAAAGTTAAACATTTTGACCAAAGGTAAATAAATCATAAGGGTGTTTATCATAATAAAATTATTTCAGAATTGTTTTATATTTTGTTCTTGACATGAATAATAATAATTTTCATCATTTCCGTATTTGTGGCTGTACAACATGGACAAGTGCCGTTTAAATCAACTTTTGCAAATTTAACACGGGCTTTATAAGAACTGAAAGCATAATTTAATAAACCGACTTCAAAGAAATAAGTCTGTTCTAAATGAATAGCTAAAAAGCGCAATTTCGTTGTTTGTATAGAGTATTTTTGACGGAATGGAACGGGAAAGAAAACATTACAGAACTTTATTCATATTTATGAAATACTGTTTGACAATATTGACCTGAGACTGATCAATTTTGGGAAGGTTTTTCATTAGTTTCCGTAATTTATTACGATTTACACATTAATTTTTAATGATAGTAAAGTTCACGATACTTCCATTTGCACAAATACAATATGATGCCCTTGTGGTAACAAGGTTGACATTGTAATCGCGAAGTTGCAGGTTCATATCAGCAATTCTAACACGACCCGCATTTTTCCCTATTGAACATAGAAGAACCGAAAGTGTGTGTTATTATGCAACAAAATCACTGTTGACGTTCTATATTTAGATTTGTGACGTAATCATTATTTATCCTGTCACTTGTATCAATTTCGGCCCGATAACAAGGTGCCGTATATTTTTACTGATCTACGGCACTTGATCACGTGGTGTGCATGGTTTGCCGGACTACTTTTCAAGAAAAAATATAATTATTATTATAATGTTGGACTTTAATTCTGTGTGTAGAATAACGAATTTTGGAAACGTTGATAAAACTTTGTTTATTTTATTTCACTCTATAATTTTTCAAGCGAAATAAAAATTATTAAAAGTGAAATAAATGTAAAACTTAACTCGTTTGCGACATTAAAAAAGCGTACATGATTTGATTGTTTTGCACGTGCTGTTTGGCGTTACATTGTGACGTCACGTAAACAATACTTTAAACGTCTGTACAGCGTTAACGACTGAATAAAAGATATTGGTGTTCGAATTAATTTTCTTAGTTAGACCATTTTCTTTCATTCTAGATAGTTTACACAACAAAATTCGACAAAAAATTGTTTTTATTTATCACATTTTTCAAACAAAATGGCGCCCTCAATGTGAAAATACACAGGGAGATAATAAGAACGGCGAGTGCATTGTTGTAGAATAATGCACGCTTCGGGCCTTCTTTGTTTATAAAGAAACATTTCCGATAGTGTGATTAAAGGTAGTTTGCCTAATATAGAGAATAATAGGTTGGTGCCGTGGATGGAGAAAGTTTATCTGGCGAGGCGGAGGAATTTATTGGGTGAGCCGAAGGCGAACCCAATAAATTCCGGAGCAGAGCCAGATAAACTTTCTCCATCCACGGCACCAATCTATTATTCTATTTATCCTGTCACCGTTTTTTTTAAAGAATTTTATTTGGCAAACTACCTTTAATCACACTATCTTAAATGTTTCTTTATAAACAAAGAAGGCCCTAATTATTCTACAACAATGCACTCGCCGTTCTTATTATCTCCCTGTGTATTTTCACATTGAGAGCGTCATTTTGTTTGAAAAATGTGATAAATAAAAACATTTTTTTGTCGAATTTTGTTGTGAAAACTATCTAGAATGAAAGAAAATGGTCTAACTAAGAAAATTAATTCGAACACCAATATCTTTTATTCAGTCGTTAACGCTGTACAGACGTTTAAAGTATTGTTTACGTGACGTCACAATGTAGCGCCAAACAGCACGTGCAAAACAATCAAATCAAGTACGCTATTTTAATATCGCAAACGAGTTAAGTTTTACATTTATTTAACTTTTAACAATTTTTATTTCGCTTGAAAAATTATAGAGTGAAATAAAATAAACAAACAAAGTTTTATCAACGTTTCCAAAATTCGTTATTCTACACACAGAAGATTTAACGACAGTTTTTATATTTTTTCTTTAAAAGTAGTCCGACAAACATGCATACCACGTGATCAAGTGCCGTAGATCAGTAAAAATATACGGCACCTTGTTATCGGGCCGAAATTGATACAAGTGACAGGATAAAAAATTCTTTAAAAAAAAAAACGGTGACAGGATAAATAGAATAATAGATTTATGCCGTGGATGGAGGAAGTTTATCTGGCTCTGCTCCGGAATTTATTGGGTTCGCCTTCGGCTCACCCAATAAATTCCTCCGCCTCACCAGATAAACTTTCTTCATCCACGGCACCAACCTATTATTCTCTATATACATGAGACGTAACCACTAAAAATGCGACGCGCTGAAAATTAGTACGGAAACAAATCAGGTGCAATTTAGCTTATTATCAGGTACAGTAACATTTATTGTTGAAGTCGTGTTAGAATTGAAATAATATATCCAAATCGGTGATTTTATCGCTTGATAACATCACTGTTTGTCGTTCGGATGCGCATCATTATATCACTCGGGCTACGCCCTCGTGATATAATTCCTCGCATCCGAACTCCAAACAGTGATATTATTGAGCGATAAAATCACAGTTTGGGATATATTATTTCTTAAATAAAAACAACAAGAAGTGTTTCACTAAATTCGAACCTACTCTACCTTAAAATTGAAACTCCTTGTCAGTTAGTCTATTTAGGCAAATGCTGTGTTACTTTAAGTTACACATAAACCATGTATACCGTTGTGTCATACATGTACTTTACCGTTATGCCATACTTTAAAATCCGTAATATTTACTTCGGAATCCAATAATTACCGACAAGTTCAAATGTCTCAGGTCAATATTGCCAAACAAAACTTACATGGCACTAAACAACAACAAGACAAAGTGACATTTAACCGTTCACCTGCTGAATACAAACTTGCCACTAGTATAGAGTGGAGTGAGGTCGGAGCTCAATTTGAATTCTTTGACTCGACTGTTCCGAGTTTAAAATGACACAAATTCAACAGGTAAAAGGTAAATGAACAAACATGTAGAGGAATTTGGGGTTTTGTTTGTTTTGGTGAAAAGGAGGAAATAATTATATCTAAGCGTGAAGTGATTACAACATACAAGAGGTAAACAAAATGAGATAATCAAAGAAAACAAAGGGGATAATAACAAAGAATCACAAAAGGAGATAAACAAAGAAAACAAAGGGAAGTAAATGTACAGATACATGTATATGGCATATCAATTATTTTACTTCAGAAATGGATTCAGTCATATAAATTGTAATACCACCGACATACGTAAGGCATCATCATCGGCATAAAATAATTTCTTACAACTGTATGTAAATAAGTTCAGAATAACTGTGTCAAAGAAACTTAATTAACCCTTTATATTAAGTAAATTTAGCAACATTCAATAAAACGACAATTATACTTTTAACATAAAATTTATACCTAAAACCATGCAATTAGTTTTGTGCGGTTAATAGGTGTTAGTTTGGTAGGTGCGGAAAAGCCGTGCAAAATAGCGTGAAACAAAGGTCAAAGCAGTTCATGGTACATGCGATCTCATGCAATAAACCAATACATCTTATACCTATGATATACTCATGTAAATTTCAAGAAAAGAACAAAACATGATCAGTTCCACCATTGAGAAACTTCTACAAGATTTTCTAGCGCTATACTTTCTTATTCTGTCTATAAAATAAGATGAATGTATTCATCAGAGTTCACCTGTAGAGAAGCTCAGTGCTGTCCTAGCCCGGCTAGGTGGTCTTGAACTTCTAAATGTGGAAGCCCTCGATGAAGTTCGAGTTGCCATAGTCGCGTCACGAGCGGAAGATTTGCTCTGTGATGGATATCGTGCACTCTGTGACTGCTGTCGACGTTCTTTCCTTTTTTCTGCAACAATGTCACGTGGTGACATGGTTTCAGTACGACTTGGTCGTGGATAACTTTGATTCGATGACGAATTTACTGAAGAACTAGCAGTGCTAGCAGGTGGCTTCTTATATTTTGTAGTAACAGTTACAGATCTAGGCTCTGGTTCCTTTACTGGTTTCGTTGGTTCTTCATTATTTGAAGGCTTGGTGTCATCAACAGTTACTTGCATAGTCACTTTAGTTTCGTTTACTTTCTTTGACTTATATGATGTAGATTCTTCACCATCTTCGTCAACCTGGTACTGGGGATCATCTTTATCTATGACATGCTTAATTCCTTCGTCTTGCTTAGATGATTGTTTATCATCATCTATTGCATTTGTAGTTTTACCCGATTCTTCCCTCGGTGAATCGTGATCAACCTTTGATACTTGACCTGGTTCCTTTAAATCACTTTCTGGTTCTCCATACAAGACTTTTACTGGTTCTCTTCTCATGTCTGTCTCTGACTTTTCTGTAAACTCTTTGACTAGATCCTTATCAGAATCCTTAGAATGTTCCTTCTTTGATTCGTTGTCTGGTTCCCTCCTCAAACTTGTATTTGACCTGTTGACAGTATTCTTCTCCGTGACTTCTTTAGGCTGCTCTTTAGATTTATAGTCGTCCGACGTATTAGAAAGCGCGTCCTTTGCTATCTTGTATTCCTTAGGATTACCAACCCCCGATGAAAGAGACTCGACAGAGGTCCGAAAATCAGATGTGTCCTCATCGTCTGATTTTAATACTTTCCTTTTCTCGTTTTTCTTTATAGGTGATTTATTTTGAGACCTTTTAGGCGTTTTATCATTAGATTTTTCAGGTGATTTACTTTTGGCGGTCTCTGTCAGAGCACTTCGTTCACCATTCGATCGTCTACTATTTAATGAATATCCAGATGCGTTGCTAACTCTATCAAACTCGACAGTTTTACTTTCTTTCTTTAGTTTTGCCTTTTCCTCGTCGCTTACAGAGTCTGATTTCTTTGAAGCAGTACTTGTTTTTCTTTCTTTTTCACTTGGATTTTCATTCTTATTTTCAATAATTTTATCTAGTTCATTTTTAGAGGTTTGGTTATTTTCTCCTTCACGTTTATAAGCGGCCTCAAGCATTTCCAAATCATTTCCTAATCCATCATTTTTATCAATATTATTTTCAGCGGATGTTTTATTTTTCTCCTGTTCTGTATTTGCAGATTTAATATCATTTTGAGCATGCTTATCGTCATCGGACTTCCCAACCAAAGAATCTGAATTACATTTACGAAATAAACTTTAATTATAGCTGTTAACCTAAATTTTGTTACATTGGTGTCCGTCTTTTGAAGCTTAAATTTAAAGTGCATATCTTTAAAATTTATTTTACGGAAAACCAATTCCCAAAACGACCAAACCAGTGTGGAAAGGCATTGCGAAATATAATAACTTTTTTCATTTCAAAGTATTAATTAAAATTTTGACATTTTATAGACATGCAGGAAGACGAATCCCACTATATTAACCATTATCTCCTCACCCCTATTTATAAACTAAGAAATGTTAAATTAAAATTGGACAACTAAAATTGGAAAATAACTGTAGCAGAACTACTGTCCATAGAAACACTTGCATTATAATCAATCTTATCTCGTTGTCTGTTTTAAATTTATAAACATATATAATTTTATCAGTCGCCGTCCTGAAACGATAGAGGACATGTTAGAAGCGGAAAAAAACAGAAGAGATTAGGAAAAATACTCATATATATTAGAATTGTAAGCATTGTAAGTGAAACTTCAAGCAAACGCTATGGAAGACAAGTGAAAGAATAAATTTTACTTATTGAATGCAAACAAAAATGACACCATATGTCAATATCGCGCATGCGTATAGAAGATGGCGTCTTACAATGCTGCGCTTGCGTACAGAAGAATACTGAGAACGCTGATGCCAACAAAACCACAATGCTTATTGTTATGCGATTAGATTATATTACATATGAAATAATATAACATCATTTCTTGAAATGATATAAACATTAATAAAACACATAAAAGTCTGCGCTAATGTTAAACATATCAGTATGTTTTAAAACGTGCATTTTAATAGAAATTATTCAAATGTTAAATTATGTTAATTGACAGCTTGCAACACGCTATAAAAATGTAAGTCAAATAAAGGTTCATTATATTTAACGACGGTTACAAGTACATTTGTATTATTTTTACTGTAAATCGAGATTAAATACGCTTGATTAAAATTTTATTTGGTACAATTTATTTTGTTAAACGGGTACAAGTAAGTAATAGGTCGCCGAGAACAAGACATGTTCATTATTCTTTTGGTTTCAAGACGAGTAATAGTGTTTATTTTACTATATAATTATCCAAAAATGCAATATAAACTGTCGATTAATATAAAAAGGAGAAACTTACACACATAAAATAAAAAAGCTAAAACACCGGAAATTTGAAATGTAAAATTTATCACAGAACAACAAATTTTAAAATAAGTGTTATTAAATATACACTTTACACAAAATGACCTGAAAAGCATAATACTGGCCAATCATAAAAGGCAAAACATATTTTTTTATTTTAAAGAATTCACTTTAATTGATAAAAATACACTCCTCGGAATTCTATTAGACATCTTAGTAAAGAAAAGTTTTAAAAACCGTAGCAGTGTGGGACTGAGGTTAAATAATTAGTATAATGATGGCGCTATAAAATGGGTTCTTCTTTAAAGCCATTTCGGATAGGAACCATAATAGGGAAATAGACCATATTAAAAGTGACTGTCTCGCCTGGTTCCCGGCCAAAAACGACACCATTATCACATGGTGTAACACCATTATCACATGGTGTAACACCATTATCACATGGTGTAACACCATTATCACATGGTGTAACACCATTATCACATGGTGTAACACCATTATCACATGGTGTCAGAAGCGGGTAATCCAAAAAGATAACATATCCGGGCATTATATATGTTGGTGTAAGTATTAAAGTTGGTGTCAAGTGTAAAATGACAAAATCTTCATGATGGGCTAAGCATCGTGTCATTGACAGATAACTTCAACTGCATGATCTGATTATCAAGTTATTTGAATATAATTCATTAAGTTATTGACAAAGTTATTTTACAGTTCTGTAACTGAAATGTTTTTTTGCTTCTAGTACCGGAATATAATTATATGAGTTAAAAGTTTCAAGAGAATGACAGAAATCAAGTCAAAAAGCTAGCAGGCTGAAAGCGTTTCCTTTATACCATCAAATCATGCAAACTTGTAAAAGGCCACTATCTATAAAATTATCTTTCTTGCCGTTCTTTTTGGCCCTTGAGTAAAATCGCCGATTCATGGCTTCATTTTCATTTTGAAACACTACTTAATAAAGAATAAGTTATTATTTGCTTTTAAAAGAACGACAAGAAACAAACTAGTTTGATTTGCTTAAGGTTTCTGTTAGTTTATGCCTACCAGCGCTACATAATCTGCTTGATCGACTCGCCCTTGACCTTCGACCTAAACACACAGCCAGAAAAAAAATTTAAACATCCAATAGTTGGGCTCTCTCGTTTTGTAAAATGTCGTTTGATAGAACTCGATAAAAAAAAGGTAATTAACATAAATCGTCCAGTGAAGCTGGTTAACATCATCTCCTTTTGTTGATAATATTATATTGATTGTGCTTGAAAATTAAAAATGTATATATTTTTCTATACATTTAGCTATTCAAGTTGTGGTCCAGACAAAGTCAATATAAAATTTTATCTGTATTTGAAATTTAAACTGATTATTTGTCGGATGAGGAAAAAAATAATAGAAAAAAAATAGCACAAAATACGTTCAAAACATAGTTCTGATATTGTTTTATGTTTTGATAATAAAACTTCCATTACAATCTCTCTGAGAAATTATCAAAGTACATCAGCGAATACCAGAAATCAATATTTAAGAAAATATTAAAGCACAAATAAATCAATTTAAAAAGAAGTCTAGAATGAAACGCTATTCGAAAGTATGGGCATCCGATTTCTGTGTACGAAGTCAAAATTCCCTATGCAATAAAAGCGGCATAAGAATAGCACCTTGACGAATACCATTTCAATTTTATTTCTCATTTCACATAATTAAATCAGAGTCATAAACAAGTTAGTTGAAAATAAGAGAGAAAATAATTTATGCTCTTGAATACACAATAAAAAAGTTATGTGCCATCGCCAAAAAAAATGCCTTTAGAAAGAAGCATGAAATAGTTCAATAACAACTACATAAATAACTTAAATAAGAAATAAAAAAGCAAGAGCTTCAACAAAAATATCTAAATGTGCACATATAGACATAATAGCTAGTTTTCTATGTAAGAGCAAATAGTTCTATATCTTGACAATATATATAAAAACAAAAATGTCGTATACTATAATTTAAACCTAATCAAATTAAATTTTGTTTTAAAAACCAAACAAGTTTTTAGTGACCAAAACCTTGCAAACTGTTATGGTGGATTAATACAAAAACATGATTAAAACAAGGAAATGTGTGGAAAATAATTAATTCAGTGAACCTACCTTCTTCTTCGTCTTCTTCATCTTTATGTTCTTTATTTTCTTTTGTTTCCTTCTTAGCAGGTGCTTGCTCATCACTCTTCTCCTCAAACTTGACCTTCTTCTGTTGTTCAACGTCATCGTTGCCCTGGAAACAAGACAAGTGTTCAGAAAATATCAATTGATTTCAATGAGATATGGAGTACAAAGATTTAACTGAGATGGATGGTTTAACCCGTGTGAAAGTAGATATATGACAATGTCCATGTAAAATGAATGAATAAATGAATGAATGACAGACAAGAATGAATGGAAGAAATGAATGAATTAATGAATGAATAAATAAATAAATAAATAAATAAATAGATAAATAAATAAATAAATAAATAAATAAATAAATAAATAAATTAATGAATGAATGAAAGACAAGAATGAATGGAAGAAAAGAATGAATGAATAAATTAATAAATGAATGAATAAATGAATGAACGAATGAATGAATCAATAATTCAATCAATCAATCAATCAATCAATCAATCAATCAATCAATTGATGAATAAATCATTAAATAGGTGAATAAATAAAAAATAAAGGGATAAATGAATGGATTTACTAACTATTTTACATATGAATGAATGAATGAATGAATGAATGAATGAATGAATGATGAAAATCAACCTTATCGTTATTTTCGTGTTTCATGGACTCGTTTTTAAAAAAAATCATTTCTAGATAAGCTTTGCGTTATCCAGCATCTCAATATCTGTTATACCGTGTTAGTATCCCAAAACATTTCATTTTATGATTGTATATCAAAGTTCGTTGTCTTTATTTATTAACCGATCAATATAGTACGACATTACGGGATATATCGTTACTTGATCAGGTATCAATTCCCCATGTTTTATTCATTAGTAAACGTGTGTACAATTGTACTGTATATTATTATACTACGCATGATGGACGAATGACATTTAACAATTGATAATAAATCTTTATTGTGGATAAAAAAGTACATTGTATAACAGATGAAAAAAGCAACCATTAAGCTAACGGCGTGTTTAAATAGCTTTTTGAATATTCCAAGGGTCAAGGTCAAATCAGTAACAAATAAGTATTTGCCTGGCATAAAATAATGAATTAGTAATATATTGTTTTAAAATCTTTAACACTTGATTAGGGAAATAATCAAGTACACCAGTTTGTATTCAATTATATTTTTTTCCTTCCCTATCTTTTTTTAAAACTTAATGCGTCTGGAATGAGAATTATCGTCTGCCGTGAATATATTGACAAGTTAAAGCAGGCGAGTTAACAACTGAAGTATTTTGTTTCACTTTAAAGGTAAATAAATTAAAGTAACAGTGAAATATAGTAATCATTGAACGATGGCTGCTCGTTAAAGTTTAAAATACGACATTCATTCCTAATAATGGCTTTGCAAATGACTATGCGCATGCATTAACAAGAAATTTCAAATTGTAATAAGCAATGATATGAGGTATATTAAAATAAAGATTTTTCTTCCGACCATTTATCGTAAAGTAATGTATTGCAGCCAGGACGAGATCACGAAAACATTGCCAGTAGGAGGTGCAAACAGAATATTTAAGTTACACCATGTTGAAATCATAAGTGTCCCTTGTCTTAAGCTTAGCGTTGGGGTATGTACATCATATTATGAGAAGCGGCCGGAGGAATTTGGGGGTTACGGATGGACAGAACTTTTTAAAGTTTTAAACACGACCAAAAGAAAAGAAAAGCAGTCATTTGCTGTGCTTTCCAACGTACGTCTTTACGCAATGCACGTGTCACAAATCCAAACCTCCATAATCCAATACATTATACCGTTCAGACTGATATGTGTTTAATGCGGTGCTATATAGAGCAACCAAGCGTCCAACGTGATCAACAGGATGCATCCTGCAATTTTAGCTAATAATAAACCTTATTATTGTTTTTAAAGATTGCACTAAAGTAATGGATATGCCATTTTTGATAATAAAAATGGGAAAATAAAAGAGACTAACAAGGGAGAACAACAGTCACACAATATCCAGAAATGCTGGATTCTTAAATATGGACCGAACAGAAACATGAAGAAACAACAACAACAAACAATACCCCTAGACGAATGGACGGAGAAGCCATTAAAAGTGAAGAAAGGACGAATGAATGAATGAATGAATGAATGAAGGAAGGAAGGAAGGAAGGAAGGAAGGAAGGAAGGAAGGAAGGAAGGAATGAATGAATGAAGGAAGGAAGGAAGGAAGGAAAGAAGGAAGGAAGGAAGGAAGGAAAGAAGGAAGGAATAACTGAATGAATGAATGAATAACTGAATGAATTTATGAATGAATGAATGAATGAATGAATGAATGAATGAACGAACGAACAAATGAACAAATGAATTCCAAAAAAACTTAAGATATATCAAATCAATACGAAATGTAGTTTTTAAAATCGCTATGGGCTGACGACAAAATTTATTGAATAACGCGTGACAAATTACACTTAAAACTACACCAAGGGATTCGATAATCATAATCTGTATAAAGTAGATCAGTCAAAATTAAAATGGTATATCGATCTAGATTAAAGAGTTTAAATTCTTTAAGCTTACGCAATTCTCCATGAAGTTAAAAAACAAAATTGCAGGGAAGAAATAGCTTCTTGTTAATAAATATAGAATAGACAAAATTCCAACGACGAACTCGGGATAAAAAGTTCGTGGGGTGGGGGTGTTGATAACTACTACGCTACTTTATTTACTTTATTGATTGAAAATTCAACAATTTGAACAAGCTTGAAGACAAATTATTCTAACAGATACCGTGAAGGAAAAAGTAAATATTTGAGAGAGTTTAGATAAACACGGTTATATTAAGGCTACTGTATTCAAGACCGGTCGATGATTTTAATGCTAGTGTAATAATATTGGGCTAATACGAATTCCCTGTGTATAACAGTTTAAAGTTTAAACCGATTATGTAGATTAACGTTGGAAAGCTATATATTTTCATTTAAGACTCATGTACATAATATAATGAATGAAGCTTTGTACACCATACACTTGGGGGTCAGATCCTACTTTTTTGAGACTCGACGATACATGGGATTTTTATTTATTCTTGTCGAAAACAAAACACATTGATATACCTTTAATTTTGTATGAGTAAATACAAATTATACAGTGTTTGGTTGTTCACTTGTTTTAACAAATGCTTCTTGGATTCAAAACATGACAATAGGTTATGTAGGCATAAACCTTTCTATTCAGTGAGCCGCTATTTTCAGTTTCGACTGTATTTGTAATTTGACTGTAATTCATTAGATTTAGGTCATTCTATACAATTTCACCTAATAACAAACTGACAATTTACTTACAAAGTTCAATAGATCTTAATTAAATATCAAACGCAGACAAATATGTTGCAAAGTCTCTTTAATATCTTATGAGAATTTCAAGGCCCAGGATACAAAAGACCGACAGATTATAAATTGTAAATCTATGCTGTAAAGTAATTCAGCGGAGCAATTTTAGTGCAATCTAATGGATATCTACACTCGAGTAGAATAGCATTAACCGCCGTCTTTACAACGGAATATCACGGCGATTTACTTCAATAGAAGGGGAAGAGACGGTGGGTATACCCGGCGTTTAAAGGTTTTTTTTCATCAAAAGATTTCAGTGTTTACACATATCAACGGTCTTTTACAAATGGTGTCTATTAATACCCGACATGTTAATAAATGTTCTTTACAGACAGACAAGATGAATGGGTACACGTAAAAAGAAATTTGAAAGGACGAAAGAAAGTATGGCACGAGCAATGTGAAATCTTTTTATATTACCTTTCAAAGACCATCGTTTAAAGAAAGTGGTCGTAACTGAAACGTGGCTGCACTAAAATGTAACATATAATGAGATATAATGGTTACACCTACACTCAAACTTATGTTATACTTATATTTATTTCCGTTAAAGGCGACCAAATAAAAGTAACTCGTAATTATTTATTTCTATCGCAAATAATGAATTTTGGCAGAATGACATGTGATCGCAACGTATGTACTTAATCCCCAAAAGGATGAAATATATCTAATCTATATCTATTTCAAGTGTCGCAGCGTAAATACACGTATTTATTCCTTTTTAAGTGAAAAAAAATATGATCGCAATAAACTTACTTCATCCAATCATAGACGACGAAATAGAGGTAAAATATACATTATTTCATATCTATTTCAAGTGATAAATAGTGGTCGCAACATTCATACGTATTTCTTTTTCGGTTTAGAATTAGATATGATCTCAATAAACGTTCTTATTTTCGACACAAGAGACTTAATTGGGATCTTTACCTACAGGCATATAGTTCTAATAGGAACGCATATTCATATACTTTTTGTTGATTTGTTGATTTTATTGGCATTAATTTCATTATAGCTTACGGACAAAGCCACAATAATATAAATGGGACAATAAAGCTTATATCAGAGAAACTTGTTTGTCGTTTTACTTCAAGTATATAATTCAAATGCCAATAAAATGAAAAAGTGTATTCGGAATACTTATAGAATAGATCTTGTTTTGCATTAAAAAGGTTTATGTTTAATACATGTCATGGACGTAAAAGATCCGATATTTTTGTAATATATATATATATACTTTAAAAAAAATCCTTACAAAGTTCTAGCATTTTTATTAAATTCTAAAAACCAGGTCATGCAATCTGTTAATATCCTGCTCCGAATATCTGGAACGATATTTCCTTTTATGCCATATAACCTAGAAAGGATATTACAAATTATAGACCTTTTACTGCTTTCGAGCGTAAGAAAACATTCGTTCAATAACTCCATATAATTGTTCGTTTAACTTATTGTGTGAATTTGAAAAGGAAAATGAATGAAAGATCAATCGATCCAACAATGTTAACAGTGCCTTTTTTAATATATACCAACTATACATATAAACAGATACATGTATATAATATATACCTTATATTACAAAGTCTTGTAAATATGACGACGGATAATTTTCATATCACTTAATATTTATGCAAAATAAAATGAAGTTTCGACAACAATGCACGTCAGTTTTAGTGAAAGTTATGATTTTATTAATTAATTTAAACAACATAGCTGTCTCATATAGAATCGCTCGCACGTTACAACACGTGCCTGTCACTAAATATTGAACGGTGCCACGTATGTATACCGATACCATATTTATAACATCCGGCGCTTCTATAATTGAAAAAAAGTCTATTACAAACAGGCACTTCAATGCATAACAGCAAATGATTTGCGCTGACACATTTGATTTAAACACATCTATTTCATTGCGACAAAAACCGTAACAGTGAAGTATTAAATTATGAATATTGAAAACTCTTGAAAACAAAACAAGTAGATTATGTGAAGGAGATACGCATTTAAAGCCACTAAGTGGGGCTTGTTTTTAATTTATAGAAATGCAAGGTAATTTATTGCAGGTAATTATGATAGGATTTCGTACAAAATGACGCTTGAGAACACGTGCAAAGATAACAAAACTAAAGGACTAGATAGATTAAGATCTCACAAAATTCACTTATCTGTTGCCACCCAATTTCATTTGGTCCCTTTTTTTGCATCTTTTATGTTTAGCAAGAGCATTCTATATGATAATAAAATTGTATTCCTTTTTAATTGGTATTGAAGGAATTTATTTTTCTCGTTATTCTGACTTTCTATATAATGTTGCAGTGCACTTATATAATTGTACGGTTCATGGCTTGTGACGATATTTACTTTTATGTCTGAATAATTAATTCATTCATCTTTGGCATTTTTTTTTATAAAGGCTACATATACTTAGCAACAGGCTATGCAGATCAATACCATTTCAGAGACAATGATCTTGGTTGTTTTTGAAAGGTGTTGTTGTAAAGAGGCTGCCATTATTATTAAGTGTTTAAAAGGGGCAGAAATAAAACCGTTTTTATGAAGAGGTTATTACTTTCAAATGACCGCTTTGTAGATGTTACACTTTATGCTACTCTGTACATATATTGCTAGTTTGTCCTCGAGATATCTTTATCAGTATATAACACTTTTCTTATTTTCTTTCCGAGATAATGTGTCACATAAACATGATTTATATTGTTAGTAGTATCAAAAATCATTTTATCATGCGAGCTATAGATTCTTCCGAAAAATCCTAGTGCCCTCTGTTTTTATGTAAGCTATTACAAACCGTAATATTACCCTGCTAGTTGAAATTCAAATCAAAGTCTGACAATGAATGTATAAAGACGTATTATCTCAATAAATCCGGCAAGTTTTACACTGCCAAAGTAAATCAGAATATCAAATTATAAATCGGCATTGATAAACTTTAAATGAATAGGTTTTTTTTTATATAGACACGTTGATCATAAGATCATAATTATTGCATTATCATGGTTTTGTTAACCAAGATACGTGTTTATCAGAGTAGAAATGTTTTATTTGTTTGTTCCTTTTCTGTTTGCCTTTTTAGTAAATCTATATAGATCTAAAACGTTTGTCAAATTAATCTAAAAGATAGAATCCCCTTTTCATTTTTTTTGGTCGGGTAATGCAAATAACTACTACTATTTAAAACATCAACAAGCCTTAAAATCAATATAGAAAGTATAATAATCTACAATGATATATATTGGCAAAGATTTATCACGGAATTATAAACAATTTAAACCGGATAATCTTAATCCTAATACGTGTGCATTGTGTTTAAAAATACTTCGGTCCGAAGATTTAATCTGTATGGATTTAAATGGAAGTTTTTATTCTTCTATCAAATTGTTACTACAGTTTTGTACTTCCTAAATAACCATTAACTACTTTTTTCAGTACATATACTAATAAATGCATGTTTTAAAATGTTTTTTTTTTCAAACAAAAAATAGCAAAGTCCTACCTGTTCCTCCATTGTTTAAATCACTTTGTCTTTTTTAAAACCCAAGTAAACACAGGTCTGGTAACACAATCTCTGTCACAGAAGTATGATTAAACCGTTCTATTAAAGCGTCGCGCGTAGGTAGTCCTAGCGACCACCCGGTGAACATGTAGAAAAATCCCCCCCCCCCAGTTTGTTCTTTACATAATCCAGTCAGGTGTTAATCTAAACGTATATATTTTTATTTGAAAACCTCTGACAATGACTATGTCAATATACTCCGGCAGGAGAAAATGGAAATCGACTGAATATTATGCAAATAACATAGATTTATCAAACGTGATGATAAAAAAGTAAAAAATTAAGATAGAGCTTTAAAATTGTATTGATCCTTTTGAAATTAACACTTACTTATAACTTAATGTTAGATACCCACTTTTAAAACGGTTCTGTATATGGATTTTTTCCCGAAATACAAGTGATGATGCTGAAAGCCATGTGTCCAGTTTAAAATGTTTACAAAACTAAAAATTTTGGAAAATTAATGTTAATAAATTATCAATTCTAGCAATTCTTATTAATTATAATATGTCAGACAATTTAAATGTAGTTTTCTTTAGGCTGCTAGGCTGCTAGGCTGCTAACTTTACAAATTTCGAAGTGTCAAAAAAAAAATAATAAAATAAAAAACAAAGTTCAATATTTAAAAAAATAAAGTTCGCGATACTGAAATAAGACGTGGAATGGTCTAAGTATGTGCTACCGACTCGTTTCCGACGGTGTTCATGTTTGTATTATCCTTAGTTTTCTTTAGGCTGTTAGGCTGCTAGGCTAGGCTGTTAGGCTGCCAGGCTGCAAGGCTGCTAACTTCACAAATTTCGAAGTGTCAAAATAAAAAAAAAGTGAATTATTTAAAGAAAAATAAAGTACGCGATACTGAAATACGACGTGGAATGGTCTTAGTATTTGCTACCGATTCATTTCCGACGGTTTTCATGTTTCTATTATCCTGCTAGGCTGCTAACTTCACAAATTTCGAAGCGTCAGAATAAAATAAATATGTTACGATAAAGTTCAACATCTTAAAAAATAAAGATCACGATATTGAAAAAGGCGTGGAATGATCTAAAGAAGTGCTACTAATGTATTTCCGACGGTTTTCATGTTTGTACTATTCTTAGTTTTCTTTAGGCTGTTAGGCTGTCAGCTGTTAGGCTGTCAGGCTGTTAGGCTGCCAACTTCAGGCTGATAGGCTGCTAGGCTGCCAACTTCACGAACATAGTATTTCTTATAATTAATTCCCAACACTTTAAAAATATATAAACTATGAAAAAGAATGTTTCCAAAAAAGATTCTACCTGTTAAAAAAAAATATTGTTTTTTTCTTGTTGTTGTTTTCTTGAGAATAAATAGCGACTGCATGAAGTCATTGCTAAATGGTTTAAAAAAAACTTCTTGAAATAGCAGCATATTATTTGTTTCCGGACATCCTATTCTGTTTACGTGCAAAGATTATTTAATCACAAAAAACATATATGAGCCGTGTCACGACAAAACCAACATAATGGGTTTGCGACCAGCATGGATCCAGACCAGCCTGCGCATCCGCGCAGTCTGATCAGGATCCATGCTGTTCGCTTACCAACCCTATAACAAGTAGAGAAACTGATAGCGAACAGCATGGATCCTGATCAGACTGCGCGGATGCGCAGGCTGGTCTGGATCCATGCTGGTCGCAAAGCCATTATGTTGGTTTTGTCATGACACGGCTCATATATGTTACAACTCGTTCAAGGCAATGGAAATAACATACATTTTTTATTCTAAATTTTATATAGACATTTATCTAAGTTGTCTCAAACACTATTTTGTTCATGGTTATTTATTAAGGAGAGGTTTACTGCACAAAAGTATTTATTTTCTTATTCATTATACAGAATTTTGACTCCTACAACATACATGTATATCTATATACTTTAAAATCAATATTATCAATATATTTAAAAGGAAACACGTGTAATAATATACGTTCATTATATGATTTGCTTATATATGTATTGTATAATTATTTACTCTGTTTATCGTTCGTCCGTCCGTTTGTTATTTTGTCCGTCCTCCGGAGCATGGATGAAAATTAACTTTTTTCCGTAGTGAAAACACCTTTCCTGGACATTCTTGCACCTAAACTGGTCCGATTTCACTACTGATTGGCTAATGCAATAGTTTTAAAATTCCTCTTAAAGGCTATATAAAAACATGGAGCATGTCAAGTAAAAAAGGCGCGTAATGCTTGCGCCGCCAATGTCACGTACCCTTTAATCCGACTTGTTGTAGCATGGACGTTTCGTTACGGCTCTTGAGATGGGTACAATGTCGTATCATTACACTATAAACCTACTGGTCTTACAGTATGGGTTCTCATATATATGTTATATGATTCTGTAGATACGGTTTATAAGTCTGTCGTCTGAGGATTGAGGGTTTATAAGCACGACTTATATATATTTGTATTTATTTAGATGTAGTTTCAAATCGAATGTACGTACAATTCAATGATTAAATGGTAGTCTCATTGATATTGTACATTTCGATCAGTCGATACACTTAAATATTTAGCACAACAATAGGAAGTGCACAGTTAGAAAGATTAGATAAATAGAATGTTACCTGAAACGGCATCCTACGGACTATGCTACGGCCTACAGCTACATACATTAGTATAATTACAGCTAAAACGATGTTTTAATGATTGGATAATATATTTGAAGGATAAAAACAAACACAAGTCAGCATACTGTGTCAGGATTATATTTATCTTGTCTATTTAAGCACCTGTAACACTTATTTGTTGTCCTATTTACGACAGTAAAGGCCACATGACTAAAAAACTGAATAAAATGTGATCCTTCGGAAGTATTAATCACAAGAAAATTACAAGAAATTACAGACTCGGTTTGATTTAGTCTTTACAATAGAGATAATGAAAAAGTGCAACAGCCCTCACGCCCTTGACACCAACTTTAGCGGTACTCAATTCTCAACACTTAAAATGTTAGAACTTATGATACTAAAGGACAATGACACCAAATCACCAAACCATGTCTCATAAGCGTTTAACCCCTCGAGTCGATTCTTCTATAAATTAATAAAAATCACGCATTTTTGTCAAAATTCTGAAGCACACCGTTACAATTATTTGCAATTTGACTCAGACAACAATCTTGAGGATGCCCGTTACAGCTAAATATGAAGTTATGCTGTCAGTCACAAAATTGTCATACGCCATTGAAGTTAGGGAGTGATGGGATTTCTTCGGATTTGCAGTACCAAATAATTTCCCGGAGCCCACGCTTAAATAATCTCTCTGATTAATTCAAGATTTAACTGTTAGTCTCCCCTTTGCGACAATTACAGGCACATGACGCTAGTGAAATGCATGTTAGCACCATAATTGTGTTCGCATGGCATAGGCGTCAATATTCAAGTACTTTTCTTCTATTACTACAAAATCTTGCAGAATTTTGTAAAAGCAGAATATTTCGTACATATTTTTGGTACATTGCGCGTTGTGCAACCTATATCGTTATCGCCTTTTCGTCTTGTCGCTAGCGACAACACGACAAAGAGCCAAACGGCGCGTTGTCGTCTTGTTGTGCTCTCTCTAACGAAGCACGCTTAACAGTGCGTTGTCGTGCGTAGCGTTGTCGCGATGTCGCCTTGTCGCCTGGCTTATAAGCCAATCTGTCAATTTGAACCGAGCGACAACGTGACATCGTGACAACACGCCGCACGACAACGCGCCGTTTGGCGTACATCGTTAGCGACAGGACAAGATGACGATAAAACGAAAGTCTAACAACGCGCCGTTTGGCGCTTTGTCCTGTTGTCGCTAGCGCCAACACGACGCACAAAAGCGTTCCAAATCAGCCACCATAGTATGGTGGCTGCCATCTTTCCTTTACTTCAAATTCAGTTCCAGATAAGCACAACTGATAGACCGGATGTTTTCTTTTACAGCGATATACGGAACATGGGGCTGAACCAAAACATTGAGTCTACATATACCTGCTTTCGTAAGCGTATGAAAATTTTTGTCAAGAGCCGTTATTTCACCGTATGGAGTATTTTTACTGGTTCTATCATTTTTATTACTATGATGTCTAATTTCTTTATCTGGTTGTTGACAGAATTAGTTTGATGAGATGGTGTGGCAATTTTGCCATCATTTGGGATAGGCCACAGAGACTTGGAATGTGAAACTCCAAACGCCTAAAAATCCTTATAAAGTTTATATTTGTCAATACCAGCACATAAATGTTTCATCTTTATCAGTTTAACATTATTCTGTATTACACTCATTCTCAACTAAGTACATTAATTTAAATGAACATCTGGGAATGGGAATCAATCATTGAACTAACAAAAAATACACTTTTTTTAAAACAACTCATAGAAATGTATTTTGTACCGAAAATGCTTAAATCTCACTTTCAAAATGAATAACCTTACAAAATCCACAGATCTTTACAATGGACGGTTAAGAAAATGTGAAAATTACTGACAAATTCTTGATGGTGCCTACTTATTTATTAATCAACTGTCAAATATGAAATAATTTACGTCATCTCATATATTGACAACTTATTACGGACTCGTAAATGATTTTTGTCCCGTAAGTGACACAATATTCAGATGCTATGGATTGACAGAAAAAATTGACGTACTTTTGGAGGGCGGTATACATAGTTTACTAGAAACGTTTTTGTATTAAGGTAGTTTATCTCTATCTAAAGAGATTCTAAATTTTCATTTTCTAGGTCATTTCGACGTTTGTAGGGCACTTTCTCATTTATGAAAACTATCACCCCCCCCTCCGTTTCTTCCATTTCTATCCTTTCTTTCAAAAACAAAGTTTTCTATTTTCAATTCATTATTATGAATATTTTCATTTAGATATGTTTCACAAATACCAAAGATATCTAGTTTGTTCATTTTTCCTAGATGATATCTGATTTCATCCATTTTTGGCATCAAATGTTGTATATTGACGAACGCAAACCGCAAGCCCTTAGAAAAATAGTCAAAAGTGTTGATATTGTTTTGATTTGTAACATTATTTCCATTTCCAGGCTTATGTAAAGTAGTAAGCTTTTTCTTGTTTACATTATATTCTAAACTAAGTAGTCGT